ATAAAAGAACACATCAATTTTATTAACTTAAACAATTGTATAGTTAAGTCCTTAAAAGGACTGCTTAGTGAAAAGTGCTTAAAGCAAACATTACAACCATAAGAAAACTAATTAATATCAACAGCTGGTTTTTTTTTAAATTCAATATTTATAAATTCATAAGGATTTGAACTTTTCTGTTCTTTTTACCAGTACGCAATGCTTGATATTCCTTGTTGGTTCTATTCAATGAGTTGTGAATTCGAAATCTTAAGAATAGGTTAATTAAGAAGTCTTTAGGAAAGTTATCACACGGATGATAGAAAAAAATTGTATTTAAAATTAAATCTTTGAGAGTCTTACCCACGTTGGGCTGAGGAGCTAATGAAATGAAATGTCTATCAAAAACCTGATTGATTTGAAAAATATACTGATAAAAAGTAGAATTGGGCATTATTAAATTACCGAATAATAAAGAAGGATTTTCTTCATATGATTTAAAATGGCAATAAAAAGTTTCACTGGATAAGGAAGTAGTTGCTTGTGCAAAATTTAAACAAGTTGTACATTGATGAACCTTTAAACATTGCCCGATTAAGTAACCACAAATGTATGTCAAAGCATTTTGTTTAGGTAAATTAATTTGTTTGTAATTAGTGATGTTTGTAATAGGTAATGGAATTTGAATAGGGTTCTTTTCTGGGAAAAGTATTTTAATTTCACTTATAGGAGTTTTTTCAAGACTGAGTAAGACCTCATCTAAATCTTGAATACAGTTAGCACCTTCAGAGTGTTCAAAGTAATCAAGACAAAAAAGTTTTTTAAAAGTTCTTTTAAACTGAATGCATGTAGGATTTATGCAATTTCCATTTTGAATTCTTACAGTTCCAAAAAAATTTTCTAATTTGTCTTGATTTGTCCTATAAGTACATATTGGATCAATTTCGGAATCACTGTTATTAGTTAAATTTTGATAAAGACGATTTAATCCAGCTATTGATATTAACCAGCCATTAATACATTTTATATTATATTGTCTACCTATATTAACCCACTCATTTTTTTCAGCATCAAATTTTTGAATTTCTAAATTTTCAAAATAATTAAACATTAAATTTAAAAAATCAGTCTGATAAGAAGAGTTTGAAAATGGTAATGAATAACGTTTTGATCCCTCATGATTAGAAACTTCAGTAGAAATGGGACGAGAATTGAATATATCAAACAGCTTATCCATGGAATCTATGAAATCAATCGTATCGAAGGCACTATGCGGTAATTCATTACAAGAAACTAGGGTAGTCATCCCTGCAACCACTGTATGACTAAAAACTTGAGCGGCAAATTTGACTCTCATTTTTTGAAAACTATTAGGATTTAAATGAACATCAGTTAATTTAGGTGCCAATCGATGTTGATTACTTTTATCAAGGTCATAAAAATTTGTAAGATGAATTTTTTCTGCAATTTTATTTTGAGAATTGAAACGATAATTGAAAAAGTTATTCCTAGTTGCCTTTAATAAATGAGGTGGATCAAACATGTAAACAATTTCTTTGTCTCCAACATTAAAGTAAGGGGTCTGGGGGGTAATGCCTTGTTGATCTGCAAAGTGCTTAAAATTTGAGCCTAAATCAGAAATCATGACTACTACATTAAAAGAAATATTGGACAATTTCTGAACAGTTTGAAAGATTATATTTTGCAGATCATATCCAGTAGAAGTAGTAGCAACAAAAAAATAGCCTATAGGTTGTTTCCAAGAACTATGCAAACCACTGATCATAATGACCATAACTGATTTAGTAACATCGCAAGACTTAATGAATCCTGTATTATGAAAACCTATTATTTCATCTTTTTTGAAATCAAAGAAAAGAAAAGATTTAAGCGACATTTCATCTACACACAAGATACATTCTTTGGACTTCACTGTCATGGAGTTTGCTTTCACTGCTAAAACTTTAAATAAAAAGTCATTCAAACCAGGATTAATTTCCCAATTTTCTGTAGTTCTTTGTAAAGTTCTAACAGAAGGCAAACTCCAGGATTTCCGTAGAAATCTATATACTTTAGGACCCATAAAATGTACCATGAGTGCAAATTGTTTTATTTTATAAGAATACCTATGTCCATAAAAAAAAAAAAAAAAATACAACGTTAATATAATTTGACTTGCTTATTATGTTATTATAGGTATAAATATAAGTAAATATTTACTTTTAGGAGTTGAACAAGATATGGCTGATTTGTTTGACCAATTAATAGACGATATAGAATTACTATAAATGTCAACAGAATCAGCCATTATTCTTGAAGTACTACTAGTACTAGGGATGGGTTCCTCGGGAATCATTATTAAACTGCTGTTTTGTTGCAACTCTGCATCAGACCAGTTGAATATAGAAGGCACTGCACTATTAATCAACCAACCATTATTGTTGAAATCTGTTTCAACGAAGTGCTCAGAACATAATTTATATGCTTTATTACAAATGGATGGACCCTTTTCCAAAAGATCCGGACGACGGCAGAAATTAACCCACTTATTAAATCTAAAGCATTATAAAATTATATATTACACAACATTGTTAGATTAATACATTATTAATATTATTAACCAATTATATTAATATTTACCTTTCGTAATCCTTCGGAAATCTATGGAAAGTAATATTAATTGACAAGGGTCCATACTTATTAGTACATAATATGCACTTAATAACCATTTTGCAAATTTTCGGAATAGCAAATTCAGCAAATTACAATAAAAAATTATGTACACTGACGGACACTGGTATTCGCACACTTGTAAAAGTAAAAATAAACTTAGTAAACAGTGGAAACAATTTTTCTATGCTGGAAACAACCCGACCCCGCGCAGAATACCCTGCCCATTAAGCGGATACGGTTTTTCAATACGGGTATAACATCATGTTGGTACACGGAAACAGTTTGAATGTTCGGACTTCAGATCATAGGTAAACACTTCACCCATCAGCTGATCGAGTGTCGCTTCTATATTGTTCTATGCTATGATATATTTAATATTTATATTATAGGTTTCTAATTGTCATTGATTATAAATACCTACTAGTATTTATAATCAATGGTACTAACTACGATAATGTACAAACTATATTCAGTAATCGCCAATCGGCCACCGGTTCATTTTTGTAGGCAGTGTTAGTTCATTCTAATTTGTAATGAATTAATATTAATATTAAACACATTTGTTTAAACTACTTTTGTGATATACAGGATGATTTGAATTTTTGAATTTTTACACCTTATTACCTATTGTTTTGAAATGTCCATACGAGTCTTATATAGGTAATTGTACCTACTATAATATATTAATATATTGCCGCACGTTACAGTGTTACCTATACTTACATAGTTTATTCATTTAACAGACATAATTAAGTACAATTAATTAAATTTTTATTACAGAATAACATGTAAATTAATGTATTTGGACGTTTCATAAAAAATATATCTATACTGCAGATGAAGTTGTACAAGATCAATATAAAAGAAAAAAAACATCTTACCTAGCTGATTATAAGTCCAAATATTGATGGCCCTACAGACAGTGGTCCAGAACTGGTGTTTTGGATGGGCCACTGAAGCTAGGTTCAGAATGGTATTATTTCCCCTTCCACCATAATTTATTATTCGAACAGTTTAATACATTTGTAATAGCATAGACCAATAGGTTAGGTACCATAGTACCAATAATAGGTACCATGATATAATAAAACTATTATATAATCATAATAGTTACCAGTGTCCCATATAAGTGATTAAGCCTCATAAGCTGTCTAGATTAAATTTGCTTGATGGAAAACCATTCATACTACTGTTTTAAGGCAAGTGGATGAATTTAATAATGTATTTTAATGTCAAAAAGCCATTTTATAACAACTGGGATAAGGATCAAAATTGAAAACATTACATACATTAAATTTAATATAAATTTACTTATTTAATTGAGGTAAATGGTAATCAGTTAATAATATTACACTATTTTGTAAATTAAATATTATTATGTACCTAGGTAATGTACATTATAAATTAATATAATTTTGAAAAAAATATCTTTAAAATGTCTCCTTCATGATAGTAGTTAACTATAACCTATCTATCAAACGTGTTCACTATTCACAATTCAAAGTTTAAAGTAGAGAAGTAAAGATAAATTTGGTAAAATTGATTATGTACCAAACTGAAAACAATTTACTTTTTGTGTCATAAAAGATTTTCATAAAAAAATTAATTAATTGTTGTGTTTAGTGTATACATTATAATACCTAATCTATATAGTCAGTATAGACTACTATGTGTCTTATTTATTATTACACACTTCCCAAATCCATCACACATTTCCAATTTCAGACAGCAAACTCTATGTCAAGGTTCACTAAAAATTAGGTGCTGATTTACCCGCTTTTTTAAACTTTGATGTGCCATACAAAATTATATTTTGACAATTTTGTGATTGTACAATAACTAACCCGCCAGTGGCGTGTATCAAAAAAAAATTTGTGTTGCTCAAATAGTTTTAGGTTACCTACCCATCATAATACGTTTATACCAACCTATAAAATGTTCTATTTTTCATCTATCAATACCCACCCGCATATATTTAAGGTGTTGTCCGAGCAACAACTGGACCCTATGTTCCACGCCACTGGCACACGGGGCGTGTGTCACCAAAGGTTAATAATTATATAACTAATATAATTATAAATTAGTAATTACTATACAAATAAAATTTAAATTCTAAATCCAAAAATGTAATAGGATACATTATTTAGAAAAGGTTAGTTTATAGTACTTTATAGATCACTGAAAAATAATGCATTTTAATAATTTTTACGATTCGTAACAATAAGGCTGTATTATAAAAGTGTTTATTATAGGTCAATGAATGCCAAATTGAACTTATACATTAATTTATACATACACAATTATTTACACATTTAATAATAGTTTAATAGTTTAATATAGCCATACAATTAATCTTCTTCCATAGTTTCATCTTTTTCTAAAACATTAGTAGTTTTATTAATTTCTGGTGATGCGCTCAAGTCATCTACGTCCATTTTATGTAATTGTTTGCCATCGGTTTCATTAATTTTTGTGGGTTCAATCTTTTCTTTTCCCTCTATTATAGCACTTTCATTTTCATTATCATTATCATTATCCTTATCATCATCTTCAGAATCAGATTCTGGTCCAGGAAGGTTAGACCTAATGATTTTTTTCTCTACAGATGTTACTGCTTCTCCAGGTTTAATCCAATCATCCACTGGTTTAATTTCCTATAATACAAAGTAACAATACATTATCAATAACTATTAACTACATTGGTATTATGTATAGATGCTTTAAAACAATAATACAATAAGTACATACTTGGTGAACTTGTTTTAGTTCCTGAACTCGTTGTAAATAATAATCAAATACATATTTTGCTATTTCAGGCATGTCTTGTACTATAAAAACTTGACGTTGAGCTTCTATAGGACTATCAAGTAGTCTATTAGTAGGGTAATAATCATCTGGTAAGAGATGTAATTTTAGTGGCCGTTTTGTTAACTAAAAGAAAAAGTTAGATATAATCGTTTCTCAGAGTTGATTAATTTATAACCTTACAATTTTGAACGATGGTGATAATTCAAAGCAATTGCTAAATAGTGATACATTAGCAAAAACATATAGCCCAAGCCTTGCTCTTGACATAGCAACAACAAGACGTCTAACATCTCTTAAATGACCAACAGTTTTTGTCCTTACTAACGACAATAGTACATAATCATTTTGCTGACCTTGATACTTATCTACTGTAGTTACCTGTAAATTAAACGTTAAACCTTTAAAAAAAATACTATGCTCTAGAAAAGCAGTCTTTTAATTATTACCTTGTGGGGCCAACCAATGAGCGGGTTAGAACCACAGCGCATGTTTATGATTTCCCTGATCAAATGTTTTTGACCATTATATGTACTCAAAATAGTAATTTTACTAGCGGGATAACCAATAAGTCGCATATACATGTAAACAGACACACAATATTCTGCTTCTGCTAAATTCTAAAAATTGTATACATTATTGATAGATGAAATATTTATATAATATAAACTATAAAATAACCTGGATGAAATGGGGGTTTGGTTCAGTTTCTCCAACACCATTAAATAACCCTACATCAATTAGCTGGTATTCATAAGAGAAACCAGCATTGGCTTTATGGTATTCTGGAGCAGTTAACACATGGTTAAGATTTCCTAAGTTATTATAACGCCAATTATATAGTTGACTCAAACTAGAAATAATAAGGTTCACAAATAGTTCTGTAATTAATATCCATTTAAAAATACTATGTATTGAATAATTTTAAATACCTAGGTCGTGAACGTCCTTGAGCATCTAAATCAATAGTAGGAACTCCTAAATTGACCATGCGTGTAAATAATGATTGCTCCATATTAGAATATTTTTGAAAAGCCATATTTTTAATAACTGGAGGTAATTGATGGTGATCACCAATCATTATCCATCGTTTTAAGCGGCTAAATCCATCATCAGAGTTTTGAAGTAATAAAGGAATAAAAGTTTCTATCTCAAGAATTTGAGCTGATTCTTCCATCAGTATATTATCGTATTTAAAGCCAAGCTCTATAAGTTCTTTACGCTTTAATGCAGCATGAGTACATGTCATTGCTATTATTTTAACTTCTTTTACCAATAAGTATCGAGAGCGATCTAAACCAGTTCTTAGTAATTCAAAAGCCCGGAACTCATCTAATTGCTTAAATATTTTTTTGATATGCCTATTAAAGAAAATAAATATAATAATATATTAATAAATGATTAATTAGGTTATATACATTTAAGCGATAGAAGGGCATATATCACTATAATATACATTTTACAATAATGCATATTTATAAAAAATTTGTATACCTAAAACAACCTCTTGCGATTTCCTTATCCTCTTCTAAGTTTTGACATTTGAATAAAGGCTGAGGAGCATCACTGAAGAAAAGATCAAATGGGAAGTTGTCCTTGACAATATTAATTGAAATAACCTACGAGTTTAAACATTAATATTTGATATGTTGATGAAAATTAATTTATTGAACTTACGCCATCAGAATTTTCTTCCAGATTTTTCAATGTTGTTAAGTATTTATTCCACCGCGGAAGTACATGGGACCAAAAAAAGTGCATAGCTGTTTCACAAGTGTATGACATATCTCCCTTTACATCCATTAAGTCTTGTAAACGCTGTACTTCATTTAATAACTGGAGTCTTTTTGCTAGAACATAATTTACTCTTCCATACCTAAATAAGAGTTGATAAAGATTAAATATTGTATTGACATTATTAATTAACATTAAAATAACTTACCGACTAAAATCCTTATCTGTTTCTAAAGCTTCTTCTCCGTGTCCCAAACGTAATAAATGTCGTTCATCAATGTCTAATGCCATAATTTTTTCAAATAATTGATTCAATGCTTGATTAGAATGTGTCACAATCAACGTACGTTCATTTCTCCAGTTATGGTATAAATTTGAAATTATCTGTACAGCCACATCTGTTTTACCAGTTCCTGGAGGTCCAACAACTACAGTAAGACCAGGTTGCATACCAGAATATATTGCTTCAATTTGTGTTGGTGTAAAATAAATCATGTTCCTAACAATAATAAGATATGTTTGTAAATTTATTTCATAGAATTTAACCTTAAATATTGTAACATTACTTTTTAGGTTGATTATACTTGTAAGGACCTCTGTTAACAATTTTCTCAGATTGTACAATAGCCTTTTTTAGGGGTTTACCGTTTGAATCAGTAGTTTCATGAAAATGAATGCTAACAAATAAAACAATAGTTAAATTTTGTTTACTATGTATATTTAGAAAAAAAAAACTTCTCTTACTAACCGATATGGCGGTAGCATTTTAGTAGGATTGTTTTCGTGTGGAACTATTTGATGATTCGGAAAGCTTGATAACAAGTGATCCATGTTTAAAAATGTATCATTAAAGTGCATTACTTTTATCCTATTTGGCATTCTAATAAATACAAATTAAATTAGTTTGAAACATCATATAAATTGATGATGATTAATGTTTTAAAAAATAAAAATTCCCCTGAAAGAAACAATAAAACTGAAACTGTTGTATCAACTTACTTATCATATCGAGCTGCTGATGGATCACCGTATCCTAAAATAATATCATGAATCCAATCAGGTACAACACATTCAGTGTTCATCAAATGGCGAATAGTTTCCAATACAGCTTTAAAATTATTTTCTTTAGGTTTTCTTCGCATTATTATGTTAAAAGTTTCATAAACATCCTAAATACAAAACAATAACTCATGAACATTTATTGAATGTAATATATAAAAAAAAATATATATACATACAATTTCTCCAGCAGCAACATTATCAAGATCTGCACGGTATTGATTACAGTCCAACCAAACACGATATGTTCGTTTTTGGCCAGGTAAGACCGGTCTTGGATCAGGTCCTTCTTCAATTACACGACCCATATTGTCTAACATTCCTTCTACTTCACAGCCTCTAACACAGACTATTGCGGTTTGTTGAAGGAATGGCTTATGATAGTCAATCCTAGATCCTAAAATAAATATTAATAAAAATAATATAATATTAAATAACATTTAATAACTGATGTCTACCTTACCTATAGGTAAAATTGGTTTAACTGTTAATAAGAAACAAACATCGTGTTTACGAAGGTTTTCCCATTCTTCTTGAACATCTTTTTTCACATTTAAAGTAACTATAACATCAGCTCGAACTCTAGAAGGTTGTAAATCACCTAGAAAAAAACATTACATTATTTAAATACAAAAAATGAAATATATTGAATGAAATAATAATGAAATTTATATCATTGAAATTTGAAAATAAATGAATTTATTTTATTTACCAAGGTTCGGTTTTGCTACTTCTACAACAAGAAAATTATCAATAGGTAATGCCATTTTGGAATAACCACTAAAGTAAATGCTTCCATCTTCAGATTTGCTAAAATTAATTTAAAATACTGATTATTGTTAATAATATTGTTTTAAGGTTTTCAAAATTTGCTTTTGAGTTAATTTAAATAATTAAAATCACTCACCCAGATGATCATTAGTAGTATAAAAGTTATACAGTAGACGCCGCTTATAAGACTCACTTTGGGACCAGCACAAAGTGAGTCTTATAACCGAATGAATCTTATAGGCGAAGTGGAAAAAAAAAATTAATTACACATTTATAAATTTTATTTTACTACATATTTTGCTTTGATTTTAATACTTTAACACATTTTACATATTACATACTTTATTATTGAATAAATTTGATAATCCTGATAAAAAAAAAACTAAAATTATAATAGGTAAATATTACATATAAAAATATTATAAAAAATAATAAAGGATGTATGTACATATTATAATGTATTTATTATTTATTTTTATTATTTTATTATTTATTTTTATTATACGTTATAATGTACCACCAGAAACTAGAAATAATCAACACGAATATTATTTAATTTTTCAATACCAATTTATTTCTAAATAAAATCCGTGAGTCTTATAAGCGGCGTCTACTGTAATTACATTTAATATACACTCAAAAAGGTATTACTTACCATGGGTTCATCCGAGTAATAGAATCTTCAATATCTTGTCTAATTTCATCTAAAAACGACATATATAATGAAAATAATGTTGTTAGATTTATTAAATATACAAATTAAAAAGCAAGCAAAAAATAATAAAATCTAAAAAAAAATTAAGATGAGAAAAACATAAAATGTTAAGTTTTTAACATTTTTCTGTGAAACCTTTTTTAGGAATTATTATTTTAGTTAAGAGGACGCTACACCCGCATGCGTTGTTTCTGTCATAACAAAAGGGCAAATTGGGATATACTCAGGAGTATTCTTTAAGAAATCGCAACTATTTCTACTTTCTTAAGGACAATAGCAGACAGTAAAAAAATAACATTATTAAAGTGACAAAAGTAACTCCCGCACCTACCAATGGTATTAACCATAAGCCCATATTACCTATTTACCTACCCACTAAAGATAAGAAAACTTGTGCTTAAAAATATTGTATATTATGGTAAATGGCAAATGGAACCATAATATAAGCAAAATACTTCATTGTAAGATCAAAGAAAAAAAAAATGAAACGTTTGAATCATACTTGAGTGGAGTCTCTGCAACAAATAATACCAATCAATCGTTGTAGAAATTCACAAGACACTCAACGAGATCTTGTGTTGAGACCACCCTGTACCTATCTGCAAGGAAGACATTACCTGAGCATGCAGCGAACAAGAAAAAGATACACTCGATATCTTGAACATGTATTTCTACTGAACTTTAGACTGAACTTTGAGCTTGACATTGTGCAATGTAATAAGTATAAAAAAAATCAAAATTTCAATCCATTAGTATTTGCAAAAGAAAAATATGAAAACTTGAATCTAAAAAAAGCATCAGAGTATAATGAAAGTGATGAAATTAGTTCAACACTTATTAAAGAGCTTCCAACGAAGGCCATATTATTCAATCTTAAACACATATACAATGCTATTTTTCAATATTTTGTGAGAAAACAAGTACCGTGGCAAAGTGTTCTTGATGTAGCCCAGACTTTTCACAAATGATTCCTCATCAAACTGCAAAAACAACTGCCATACACCAAGTATGCACTTTTAGAATCATACTAAACTGACAGTAAATTTCAAGTTGCACAAATACAGGAAGAAGCAGTAACCAAATGAAAAATATATATCTGCTGGAATACTAAAAGATAGTGTCTTAGGACCTATAATTGGTTGATATGTTTGCCAAATTTTCTGACGATATGGCATTTTTGATTATAAGTTCTAGAAAACTACAACATCTCTGCTTAGAAGAAGATTTAGAAAATTGTGATCAATGGTGGTAATTTTCAATAAAAAGCATTTAATTATCACCAAAAAGCTGGAGCTACCGTATTAATAGACCATTCGTATAATCCTGTTTGGAACAAGCTAACCAAAGTAATAACACCTAGTAACAGGACTATTAAATTATGAAGATCCAAGAAACAAAACCCCTACTTTATAATGCAGAAATGCCCAACTACTACATAGAATTTTCGAGGGCACTTGAAACAGAATGACATCAAAATGTGTTTCTTAACGGCAAATTAGTCAGTTCACTTTCACAACTTAGAATGAACTTCAATGTAATTGTATCCATAGTTTTAAACATAGAACTTTGTCTAAACTAAAAGTACTATTATATTAACTTGTATACCATATGAAAATATATTTCCAATTTATACTCCATTATTTTTCCCATCACAATTGTTGTTTGATGGGAATTAGGAATAGGTAGAAGTATATATTAATTTATTAGAGAAACTGAACAACAAAACTTACATGTAGATTCTAATCTGAACAGTTGAAAATTACGCAACAAGTAATCATGGAGAGTCAAAAATTGTAAGTTCAATTTTGGTAACGCCAAACATTTATTGCCATTATAATATTCAGTAGGAACCACAGCTTCATTCCATATAATATCTTCAGTAGGGTAAAGAGGCATTCCATTTAAAATTTGTAACTGTGATTCTCTAGCTTCATGGCGAGATACCTTAAATAAAGTTTAATAATATAAATATAAATAAATATCAATATTAACTATTAAGTCATAATTAGTCTTCTATAATAATATATTTGTTTTATCAATAACTGTTTCTGAATTATATTAGTAATAAGCAATAACTAATATATAATCAATATAATATATGAGAATATTTCATGAATATTTTTAAATTAAATTAAAAGGTAGGAAGGAGAGTTTAAATTTTAAATGTCGCATTATTATTATTTATTAATTATTAGTAACCACAATTATTAGACACACTTTAAAACTATAAATTTAACAACAGTGATTTGATAATTTGTTAATGAAATAACAATAATCTGTGTTATTCAGATGTAAATATCCACATTTGGATTCATTATTAAGTTATCTTTATAATGTTTATAGCAATAGTATACAGACAGTATTTACAAATTGTACTTTGTAAGATACAGTAATTTTAGATTCTGATAGAAGAATGTATATACTATATTGGGCCGCCAAATTGTGCTCAGGGGTGTGGATTCGTTCCAAATTCCAAACTAGGGGTTAACTTGGTGGGAGGAGCATTTGACAGCACCCAGATGAAAACCAGTTCCCGCTTGGTACCTTCCTTATTCAGAAGAAAGTTTAGACTATTTTTTTATTTGTTTAGTTTATTTATTCTTGTTTAGTAGGGACCAAGCTCCAAAAGCATCTCTCTGCAACCTTGAATCAATTTATAAACTGGTCTAATTTACATAACTGCATAAGTAAAAACTATATTTAAAAATGTTTTTTTTTAATGGGATGAGTGAAGACTAGGGCTGTGCAATAGTCACTTCTAGTGGTCGTTAGTCAATTGTCTTAAAACTACCGATTGTATCGATTAATCGATTATTTTAGATGTACCGGGATAGTTTCGAACACAGATTAATATATTAGTCTGGGGGTATCGAATAACCGATAATATCAATTAACCGATTTATATTCTATATTATAGAGTAGTGGCCAGGGGGGTATCGATTTGGAATAAAATTAAAAGTAAGGCAAATCTTCCCAGGCAATAAAGTGGAAAAGTGTTCAATTAATTATAACTAATTGTATACATTTATTCTTCTATTGGTAATGAGTTGGTAATTTAAATTAGTGCAAACTATAATTATTATTATATACATTTTTTTATTTAATAATAAAAAAAAGTTATAAATAGGAGTTTTCGGTAGGTAGTTGGTACTAATAAATGAAAGCATTATAATATTATGCACAGAAATTATATTTTTCTGTTTTAAAAAACTATTTTTTTATATTGATTTTATGCAATAAACCGATTATATTATAAATATTGTTTAACCGATACTATCGACGTATCGATTGTATTCGATACATCGGGATTGTATTCGATACATCGGATGATTCTGTTTAATAAAAAACATTGATTAATCAATACTATAGATTACTAAAAACGATTAATCGATACTATCGCACAACCCTAGTGAAGACCCATCTTTACAATGAATATTTTAATAATGATAATCCCTTGTCTCACACCAAGGTGAGCAAAGCAAGACAATTACTCCATACTCAGTTTATGTGATTTAAGGTTTATTTATGTATCACATCTTCTTTTTTTCTTCCATATATATGGAATCATACACCCTAGTCATAAATCCCCAAGGGGTCCATATATCCCACACTTTTTTTTACTCACACAAAATATTTTCGTGTCATTCTCTATTCTGTATACACACTTCTTCAGTTGTCATCTCCCCCTCTTTCCTTTTAAATTAATTTCTATAGCCACTCTCCACTTGCATTGCCTCCGAATCACCAATCCTCATAACATAACAAACCTATAGTATTTTCTATCAATTTAGCTTATTTATTTATCACCAAAATATTTAAATTTTAAATTCTAAACAATAGAGATATTATATAAAGGTTGATTGACTGTAATCCAAGGATCTGTCTACAATTAAAACTTTTAAGTTTAGGCTATTTAGTTTACTACATAGTATAAAAAAATTAATAAAACATACATACCAGTAAAGAGAGTAAAAACTCAGAGTCGTAACGATACCAATTTTCATTCAAACGTTTTTCTTGGTCAGGAATCAAATTAAGTTCCATAGCAATATTTTGAAGTTCTTGATTACTGAAATTAGGTACATCAGCATAGTTATAAAAATCAGAAAATTAATGTTTCTAGTTCTTGAATCCTAGCCTCTTTTATTTTGTGATGTGCAAGAGCCTTCCTCCTCATGTCATAAATTTAAAAAAACTGGCTTAAAATATTCAATCATTGGTTTTTTTACATTTCAATCAAATTATGTTTTACTTAAGTTTACTTTTCATCTTAAGAGTATTAATTTATTACACCTATGCGCTTTAATACTAAATTATTCACCTTAACTTTTCTTTAAATAAATCTATTTTATTAGACAAAGGCTACATTTATACTACATTTTTATTTATAGTTTTCTTTAATAACATGTTGTATTGAAATTACTATGTTGTACATAACTCACCCATTTGTAATTTAATAGTGTTAATAAAAATTATTTAAGTTACAAATTCAAACCAATTTAAATTTAATTTAAGAAGCCATTTCTACTACATTTGAATTAGGTTAATTAAACTTTTATTTTGTACCAGAAAAAAATCAAACATTTAAATTTAATATTGATCCCAACTCAAATTTAAGATCAAATTAATTTTACAAAAAAAAAAAAAAAACTAGTTATTAATTACTTAAAAATAAATTTTATAATTTTTAATAAACCAAATTTAGATTTAGATTTTATTAGTCACTAGACAAATAAGAAAATTGTCTAGTTCAATTGAACCAAATATTTGGAAGTTGGTTCATTAAAAAAAATTTAAAATTTACATCATCACTATAAATGCAATTTGAATCAATTAACTACCATATTTAAACAAGAATAACCTCAATTTGTTAAGTTAATAATTTTTTAATTTAGAACTTACCTTAGATTTTTAAAGTGTTTAATGAGAGAATCATATTTATCAATAGCATTAATATTAGATAAAGAAAAGTCTTGTAATTTAGTAAATTTTCCAAATAATGTTGCCTGAAAAATAGAAATAAAAAAAATTATATTAATATTACCTTATTGAACAAAATATAAATAAGGTTTTTAAATAATATACAAAATGGCTAGTTTAATCTACATTTCTAGGAACTTTAAAAATACATTTGGTAGGTTTTATAAGTATTCTTTTAACAACTTTATAAAGCTTTTTTTTTTTTTTTGAAATCTATACATTTGTATGCACAATAAGCTTATGTCGTAAAAGTATTACAATGACCTGACATTTTGAGTAAGAAGCCACCCATTTACAACACTTAGTTTGATGATAATCAAGCTTTTAAATATTAAATACAGTCAAGGTTAAATAAAAATCAGAATGTCAACATTTTTTTTTATAGTGCTGTACTACTGTGGTCTTTTGGTTTAACTTTCTTTTAACCTAATTAATTCCAAGCTAAGTAACTTTAATGGGTGGCTAAGTTAATCATGTAACTACACCATATATATATTATTCTTCCCCCACTATCAAATATATTTATTTTGTTTAAACCATACTTGTAATGATATAATTTTATCATAATGTGCTTGCATCACTTCATTTTCTTTTAATGGATCACCAGTAGATTGACAAATTTCAAAATGGAAATAAAATTTTAATATATCTAAAAGCTGTTAAAAAATACATTAAATTAATACTTTTTTTGGCGTAATAAAACTTCAAAAAACAAACCTGTTTGAATAGGTGTCCTTCATCACGTTTGCTTAACAAAGCTAAATAACAGCGGTTAATTAAATGAACATCATCTAAGACTACATGAAAAAATCTTCTAGTAGGTAATGATGTTTCTAAATCAATAAGCATTTCCAAAAACCTTTCACAATAGTTTAAATGGTCCACACACAAATCACCTAAACATTATCATTAATACATTGAACTTTATAAAGTTATTATTGACTATTTAGAATTTACTAAAAATTAATTTTCTCCCATTAACAATATTAACTATTCAGCTTTTATGACTACAGTAGACAATGTTTATAATAACATTTAAGGGACCAAGGAAAAATAGGTCGTAATAATTGATAGTAATAATTACCAATATGATTAACTTTACATATAAAACTTACCTTTGTATTTTTTGGGCCCTTTACTTTAAGGTTATATAACCAAATATATCATTACAACCGGTGTCATTATAACCGATTTCTACTGTATTAACTAGTTTTATCAATAAACATTTACAAATTTACCTTCTAATGGTATGTTTTCCAAAACATTGATAAATTTAATGCATAATTTATGTAAAAAAGTTCTTTCAAGATCTGCTTTTAGTTTATTTTCTGGTGATAACTCTTTATCCTTTTTTTGTAATCGGTTCCATAGTTTTTGCCATTTAGGTACTTGACGCAATTCCAATATTCTTCGTCTCTGAAAAAAAAAAAAATATTAAATGTTAATGAATGTTAAAATAAACATCACAATTTATTAGTAAAATAATTATAGTTTTGATAAATTCCTACAAGGTTTTTTATTACGTTAACTGTTAAGTATTCATCTTGATTTATTCACAATTAACACAATACAAAGAGTGCATCATTATTTATCTAAAAATAAGAAAATTCTTATGATTTATTTAATATTTAAGAGGAAGCCACACCAGGGTGTTTGTACATTAAGCAAATGTGTGTTTGATAGAAGTAGAACAGATTCTGTGTTGTGAGCTTTAATTTTACGTTGAGTTGGCCTAAAATCAATCTTAATGGTAAGAACACTCAGAACATTAAAATATTTATCTCTCGTCGGTTTTTATGATATTTTAAATTTTACGTAAGTTGTGAGTATGTAAAATATAAAAATGCTCATAAGTCAAGTCATAACTCTAAAAAATAAAATATGGTAAAAACCGACGAGATAACAGATAATGTTCTTACCTTCAATTTTGATCATAGGTATATTTACTCTTTTAAGCTAACAGCAAAATAATCAATTCTAGCATTCTCTTAATCTTTTGAATATATTAAAAGTTATCAATTCATTGTGATATTTTTAAAAAGTAAGTTGAATAATAAAAGGTGACAACACGTGATAAAAAAAGTTAAAAGGGGATATATTATAATAAAAGATTAGATTACTAATAAGTTATGACTATTTTATCAAATACATTATTACATTTCAACTTATAATAGAAATAAAATACATACTTCTTGTAAACTACACCAAATTGATATTGATACAAGTTTTTTCATTTTGTTTCTAACTAAATCAGTTTCCATGCATTGAAAACAATGATTTAAAAAAACTACTAGAGCTATTTGTTCTTTAATGCTGTGATCATCAGAGAGACTAGCACGTAAAACTTGATCAATAAATCCATCAAATTCATCTGGTTGCTTTTTTAAGGCCTAAAAAAAAATATATATATACATATATATCTAAATAAAAATAAATTATTATTTACCTGCCAAGGTGCTACTCGTTCACGAAACTTTTCGTTTAACATTATAACAATGGACATCATATGTGCAAACGTAGCATTTGCAGAGATATAATTAGGCCACAAATAGTTTTCTAAAAATTGACTGAATTCCAAAATCATAATACGTCGTACTGAAAAACTAATATATAAAAATTATTTTAGTACTAATGATATATACCTTAGTATAACAATACACTCTGAAAATAATAATCCAAAATAATTATCTTCTCAAAATTAATTATGAGTTATAGCTAAACATTTATATAAACAGCTATAAACCAGGTATATTTATAGTTTATTATTTATTTAGACAAAAAACAAAATTTTAAAATTAGGAGTGTATTTTAAGCATTATGCTTATTTTAATATTTTCCAAGCAAAAACTTTAATGAAAAGGGAAGGTATATGGCAATATTCTTCAGAACTAAAAAATACACTTTTATGAGAAACCATTTATTATAATTTTTTTAGAAAAGAAAATATCCGTATAAATATGATATGTGTTCAGTGTTGTATAGTCTATTCCTTAAAAACTGAATATTTATTTAAGGGCAAAATAACTTCAGAAATAATTCAATAGTTAAGAATATTTTTCTAACCTAAAATATATTCAATAGAAATTAGAAACATAATATTATGACATTATGTATATTACTTGAATAAACTGTGAGACTAACTAAATTTTCAATTTTATTCTTTATAATCTTTATCTTGGAACTTGTTTTCAAGAATAGTTTTAATTTCTTTTCTTATTCAAATAAAATATGTTTATCTTAATATATCTTAAGACGACATGACGCCTGAATGTATTTGCTCCGTCTTACAAATGTATAACATAGCAAATTTGCAAAAGTTTTACTGTTTTACAGTACATTTACTTACTACCAAATTTAAAGATAAGAATTAAAAGTATAAGTGCTCTCATATTAGTTACTTTTATATTATAATTTTAAAACGAGTTATACGGATGAAGGATACAAATCAAATTTTAATTATAATTTAAATAATATGTTTAGGAGATAGGTACTATTTAATAGTAGTACATAAAATATATAATGAAATAATAAACTCATAAAAAATTGAAACTAAACACTTACATACTACAGTGAACATCCTTATAAGGTTAGGTTACCCCCTAAAAGACGGAATTTTCCTTATAACGGAAACTCCTTTATTATGGAAAATCAGTTGGTACCGAGCGATTCCGTTATAAGGAGGTTCTACTGTATATATTTTATTTTGTTTGAAAAATGTATAGTCGTTACGTTACTTATCATGAAATATATTAGAATCCAATGATTTGATTATTTATCAACCACAAATTTATTTTACAAGGATAGGCATCAAAAATAAAAACAACATAAATTAGGTCTCTTTTATTAAAATTAACACTGTGGCCCTAGTTTGCCTAGTTCCGCCTTTGTACCTAGACATGAGTTATTAAATAGTGTTATGGTCTAGGAGCGTAGTTTTTTAATTTATTAAATGCTGAGTAAATCCCTAGACCAGTGGTCTCAAACTAAAATTAAAAGCGCACCATATATATTTAAATGTATGTTTAACCATCTATTTGTCCTAAATCTATTTTTTGATAGAAATTTTATTTTTTAATTTAAATACAGCAACTTACTTAGACTTATAGATCTCTTCATTGTAAATATTTTCAACAACCTTGGCATCATAAGGTAAGTATTGATTGGAATCCAAATTTGGTGCCCAATACTTAGATGCTATCTGCAAATGTAAGATGTGAAATTTAATAATAATTTTGTACCCATATTAAGTTCTTAAAAATTGTCAGTAATGAGAAAGTTATTTTTATAAATGTATTAGTTAAATTCAGATTGAAATAAGAAATAAAATAGATAAATTATATCGTTGAAATCGGCAGATGCCAGACTATAGTAGAGAACATACAATAACAAATAAAATACATTTCATAAAATTATGTGAATTAAATATTTACTGTAAGCTACTATTAATAACAAATCTATAAATATTAATTACTAAATTGCAGCATTTTAATAATAAAAGTATCTCTTCAGAGAAATGCTCAGCTCTGAACGAATTAAGCATATCCAATTTGTAGGTACTATGTACTTTTACTATAAACAAATGAAAGAACGTCTATCCAAGGACCCCTATAATACCTTTGATAAAAATAAATGAACTTGTCGAACATTTTCTAGTTTTTACTCCAATATTTAGTATAAAATATCAGATACCTATTACTTATAAATTATAACTATGAAAGTCAACTTGTCAATGAATGGATCAAAAACGTAAACGTTCAAGAACTTAATTCAAGTTCATTTCTTGAAAATTAAAAATAAAACGTGTTCATATGCATGATTACTGAAAATTTTTAAATTATATTATACCTGTGTAATACGATCGGCATTGATCTGATCTATGGTTGGGGCAAGATTTAAGACTACAGCTTGCTTAGACTCGGACATTATGATTGTGTGTTTTTATTCAAAAACATTAATTGAAAACAAATATTTAAACACAATTAAAAACTATACAGTCATTATTATTTAAGGCAATAATAACACTAAAGAGTAAAGAGTTGTAAGTTGTGGTCACCGGTTCGTTAATTTTTAAACGCACGAAAACGTTGAACACACAACAACTTTATAGTAGTTCAGTAGTAGTTGTAAACACGAAAAACACGATACCTACAGGCTATAATCACATTTATAGATAGTTTAAAAAGAAAAATGATACTAGTTATCTATGATAGTGGTACAGAACGCCTGTATCCATGGTTAATGGTTACCAATTATAGGTTATGTAAAATTTGTAAGAAAAATTGAAAATAATATAATGTGATTTGTAAAATATATTCAGTTTTTATTGTTTTCAAAATTCAAAAAAAGCTTTTTTCGTATTTTTTTTTTTTGTTTTTAGAATTTTGGATAAAAATAAATTTTTACTATTGTAAAATATTTGGTTGTTTTATTTGTTGGACTACTTTTTAAGAATGTCACGATCTATTGTATTTGGGATACATGTTGGAAACTCTACCGCATCAATAGCCATATCCAAAGTAAATATTATCCAAGTGTTTAAATGTTTTAAAATGTTCACTCATACAAGTTATTTTGTTGTTCAACGTAATAAATACAAAACGGGTCATTTATGGCATTATTTAAATTGTAAATTTAAACCCTCAAATCTCATTCATTATTCACATTTCTTGAAGAGATGTGTCGTTCGTACACGACCGACCTAGTTCAATTGAACTATTCACTGAAGTAAACAATTCAAGCTAGTTCACATTAGAAGAACGACGACGTTCATCATTAATTTTACACTGTATACCGTATACTGGGTATATCTTATTCGTTCAATATTTAGGCTCACTACTACAAACTATTAAAATGTTAAACAAATAATTTCGTAATTGAAAGATTTGATATTCGATCGATTTTCTGTTTCTTTGTTTCGTTTACTAATCACTAATAGAACAATTATTTTCTGGTACCAATAAACTATACTTTCTTACATATAGTTTGTTAACTAGTTCAATTTGGTGAACGATGAACGAACAAACTAGCTCACCTAAGTGAACGACTAGGTCCCATCACTAATTTAATGATTAAAATACTTGGGTGTTATTATTAAATAGTTGATTAATGATTAATTATTGATATTCTTTAAAAACTAAAAATAATTCTATAGACGATAATATAGGTAATCCATACTTTGATTTTATTAAAGAACAATCAAAAATAAATTTTTATAATTTATAATTTTTATTTTAACCATTGTAACTGAAGTTAATTTTTCATTTCTTATTACAAATTTTTATGTTTTTTAGAGAATTTTTATATTTAAAAATTGAATTTTGTACTAGTAGTTTATTAGTTTATAAGTAATAATTAAAAGATTTAAAGTTATGACAAATGGAGTAGTGAACCAAAATTTTGTGGATGGAGTCCTGGTCCTGGCCTGTGCAACTCAATTCCTCTTATCTAAACATTAATACTTTTTTTTTTTAATTTCCTTTATAATCTATACAATAAATATCTAATAACTAATAACTATTAACAAACATTCATAAACATGTGACATAGGTCAAGTATGTTTTAGGCTCTACTTGGATTGTCTGTAGAGTTTTGATATGAAGCTGGTCAAACTTTTGATATGGTATTATATTTTGTCATGGATTCTAGAGTATAATAAAAAAGCATTTCTTTATTTTCTGAACTTAAAATATATATTTAATTAATATATTATTTGTTTTTAAATACTGAAGTACTCCTAAATATATTTTGCTTTGGAATATGCAATTAAAATTGTGTTGTCATTTCAAAAAGTAAAAATGTTTAATGTTTTTCTAAAATTATGAGTTCTTCAATAAACTAATTATTCAGTATTACTCTTCTTTGGATTTCAAAATATTTCTGTAACCATTTTACAGGAAGAAGGTAAGGTAGATGTTCTCGCAAATGAAGCTGGAGACAGAATAACACCTGCAGTTGTATCTATAACCGATGAAGAAACTGTAAGTTTAATTAATTTGTGAAATACAAGTTATTTTATAAATTTGTTATAATTTATTTTTAGGTTGTTGGAAATGCTGCTAAAACTGGTTTTATATCAAAACAGGCGAATACAATAACTTTTAATAATCGTTTAATGAACCTTTCATTGGATGAAACTGAAAAATGTTCATTTATAGAAACTAATAAGGTCAAAACAATTGAGGACGGAGGTCATCTTGCATATGAACTACCCTTGGAAACTAAGAAAAAAATTTATTCTCCTCAGTTTATTGAATCAAATATTTATAAAACATTATACGGTATTTATAAATTAATTGTTTGATAATTATGGTTTTTTTTTTCATTATAATTATCGAAATATTTGCCTTTATCCTATAATTCTGTTATCTTAAATTAATTAGGTATTGCTAAAAGAGCCACTCACAGTGAAGATACAAAATGTTCTTGTGTTGTTACTGTACCAGAATTTTTTGATGATCCCAGCAGAGAATCTGTTAGAAACGCAGCTATTCAAGCTGGATGGAATGTGCTTCAAGTTGTTAATGCTCCTAGTGTAACCCCTTTCACCTATGGAATAAATGTTACTGAACCTTTAAATGACACGTATGTAATTATATATCACTGATAAATGTATTTTTAAATGACATTTTTATTATGTTATGTAATATAGGTATATTTTAGTATATAGACTTGGTGGTATTAGTTGTGATGCAACAGTTTTATATGTGAATTCTGGTTTAGTGTCAATAGTAGCATCTGAACATACTAAGGCTATTGGAGGATATAAATTAATAGAGACACTGAAAGCTCATTTAATTGAAGAAGTCAAAAGGTACCTTTTTGAAATTAATAAAGTACTTACACTCTGTTCAAAATGAGATGATGACGCAGCGACCAAGTTGTGCGCATGGGCGTAGCTTTGTTCCGTGGCTGCGCCTGACGCGTCACTGTAATGGGGATGGAGTTTTACCATATGTCTGACCGCCGCCGAGTCATCATCTCATTTTATATATTATAGCTGGTAACAATATTTTTTAACTTTTTGAAGGAAACATCGATCAAATCCTTCAGAAAATGCAAGAGCTTCTGCAAAATTACAAAGAGCTACTGAAGATGCAGTTCATTTACTGTCTACATTAAAAACGGCAAATATATTTATTGAATCATTGACTGATGGAGTAGATTTTGCTGCCATGGTTTCGCAAGCCAGATTTGAATCATTAATTGCTCATTTGTTGTCTGATTTTGCTTTGCCAATTGAAGTTGTTTTAAAGAAAGCAAATCTTAAAAGTTCGGATATTAAAAAAGTATTTATTGAATTTTTATTCACAATTTAAATTTTAAATCTTGTGAAAATAAGTTATATGTTTTAATTAATATAGGTTTTACTTTGTGGTGGTCCACTTAAAATACCAAAGTTGAAACATTATATTGGAAACTTATTTCCACATGCGGATATACCAAATAGTATTAGTCCTGACGAAGTATTGGCTTACGGGGCGGCTGTGCAAGCTAGTTTCTTAGCAAAATATTGGAACGCAAATGATGATTTACCAGAACCTACCACAGAAGTTCACACATTAAATGAATCAATTACAATTGATGTTGGTATTAAAGAAATGTTTTATTTTTACCAATAACTTATCTAATGATTTTTTTAGTGTTGTGGTGAGACTGTAAGTTTTGATCAGAATGAAATATTACCTACTACAAAAAGTATAACAACTAGTGCTAATGTTGACAATATTACTTTAATAGCCACATCAGGAAACAACAAGATTGATAAATCTGAAGTAAGTTTATTTGAAACTTAATTAAACATCTAATATATTTTATCAATTTTTATTTAGGCACACATAAATCTAAAAACGGAAGGAGAAATTACTTTTACATTAACTGCCAGTGTGTAAGTAATACATTTATAACAAATTGTACAATGAATTACCATTAATTTTTTTTCTGTTATCTGTAGAGATCAATTACATGTTGAAGCAAAAGATATAGATACCGAACTGAAATCAACTGCTATATTTGTAGCCGTATAACTTGATTTACAATAAACAAAAAGTGCATTCTATTTACTTTTCTCTAATTTCAGAACCTACATTCTGATTTTTTTTAATCATTCCTTGAAGACCTTTATTTATTATTATTAAAGTAAACCCTGAAATATCTTCCTTGGCTCCAATAGCAGCAGGTGTCTTTAAAGGAGCCATATCCTCTACTATTCTGGTCAATCAACATTCAGCAGATCAACCGACAATTCCTCACACTAAATTGCAGATTTTGCCAACGACCAAATAATCTACTCCTAAATACAAAGATTCAATAGCCTACAAAAAATATAGACCTCATGTTAACCTAGTGCACTAAACGGAAAATAGAAATAAATCACAAGAAATCCTCACATTTGACTTTTACCCTAAAACTGAAAATCATACCACCTGTCACCTAAAATATACAAAAATCCTCAAGCTCTCGCTATTTAGGCATAATTTTATACCAATGGCAGACCATTTAAAAAGCAAACAAATCCTTCCTAACTCTGAGGAAATCTAAATTATTCCTATAAATTGATGCCTATTTGGACATATATGTATATATTATCCAACTATGAGGTGCAGCCAAAAAATAAAATTTAAACCTTCCAATCAATAAATGTATAATTATAGATTTGATGTTTATCTACACTACAATATTATACATTTAAAAAGATATCAATATCTGTATTTAAAACGTTATTGTTTTTTTTTTTAATCAAAATATGTTTATTGTACTAAAATAATTAAATATTTATTGTATTCTAAATTAATGATTTTTAAAGTGCATATATTATGTAGTTACTAATACGTATTTAGTAGTGTTGTAATTTATGAGTTTGTGGGTACTGAAGGTAATATTGATATTAGAGAGGGGGGTCTTATTTTGCAAAGAAAAATTTAAGCCCCTCTAAAATTCAATCAAATCTCCGCCTATGACCCTTCCCTAATGAGAAGTTATGTTTTTTTTTCGAATTACTTTTCGTTTTTTCCTCTGTCAAAATATGAAATTTTAATACAAGGTTGTATTATACTCTATGGTCTATAATATATTTTTATAAGCTTTTGAAAATGTTTTACCAAAGATCATATTATTGTATATGATTCTAAACAAAGAAAGAATTATGCAGTTTAATGAATCAATGGTATATAGTTATCACAGATATGGTTGCACTGTACCTGATATTCTTATCAAAATATGTCAACAAACATTATTGTGATTTGTGGTTTGCTTGAAGAACTATAGTTACTTTCTAGGGTCTACTTACTAGTTACTATACAGTAACTACAACTAGTGACAAGGAAATCTGGACAGTGAAAATTGAATGTCTTGTGGCATAATGTTAAAAAACATTTTTGTACTTTGACACTTATTATTTTTTTAGTTTGTTAAATAAAATAACTTAATATTTTATAAATAATGGCAAATCAATATAAAGGATGTTGTGTGTCTATTAATTGTGTGGATGGTTCAGTCGTTCAAGGTGAAGTGAGCGGTATGTCGGATGACAATGAAACTCTAATCCTAAAACGACCATTTAAAAATGGTATACCACATACTGAAAAAGAAATTCGTTTAAAGTAATGCTATAATAGTACAAAGTGAATTAAACTCAGATAAATATTTTGTTTTATTATGTTTTAAACTAGAGCCTCGATGATAGAGAACCTAAAGATTATAAAAGCGCAACTAGAAAATGAACCAGTTATCAATAATAGCCAAGTAGCCAAAAATATTAAAAAAAGTGTCCCAGTACCTAAACCAAACAATGTCAAGCAAAAGAATAAAACAAAAATTGCTTCTAATTCTGAACCTGGTTGGTATATTTAATGGAATTTTTAATACCTACATATTTAGGAACATCAAAGATGTTGAAATAATATCTCAAGAAAATTAAATTAATGAGATTTTATGTAATATTATGCAATATTCTTTAAAATTATTACACCAACTCATACATGAGATCATTTGATCTATAGTTGAATAATATAATTGTATATTAATTGTTGTCTACCTATGTAGAACAACCACCGCAGAATTTTACAAATCATAAAGAAAGAAATGATGCTTGTTTTGGTGTATCACTTGATACAATTGTCAAGGAAGATTTTGATTTCGAAAAAAATTTAGCTTTATTCAACAAAAAAGCTTTTTATAATAAAATTCATAAGAAACCAGATCTTGTTCCACATGAAAAAGTTTCAAATAAATATAAACATAATGAGAATGTATTACATTCTACTCCAGTCAAATTCAGACAAGTTACAGTTCCTTCCCCTGCTATCAATGAGTATATAACAGGTAATTGTATACTATGCATAATCTGTTCTAACTAAACTAATCACTTCACATGTTATTTCAATAATACAATATTTCTTATTCCAATATTTTTTAGATGATGGACTAGTTGTTCCAAGTATAACATCAGAATTACGATGGAAACTGTTTAATCTAGTGGAAGAGAATGGTTTAACAACAGGACGTCAAAATGAGATAATTGGGCGAGCTGCTACTGAAATGGTGTTGCAACTTTTAGGTGGAGGTTATAGGTAAAATATTATATCAAAAAATATTTTGTCTTTGAACAAGTAATTTTTTTTTATTCTACACTTATAGATTTAATCCCAGAAATGAACACCAATGGCCTAGAGTAGTGGTTTTATGTGGACCTAATCGATCAGGTGCAATGGGTGTGAATTGTGCAAGACAATTAAGCAGTTATGGTGTCCATACTGTAGTTGTACTTTCTGAACCAGGATTGTATACTCCACAGTTAGCTAATGAAATGGCTTTATATCAATTTACAACTGGTACACTTATTACTAGTGCAGCAGGTAATTAAACTAAACTATTTTTTTCTTGTTATCAATACTATGGAAAACTACTGACAATTAGTACAAATTACAACAAGTACTAAATGTATTCACTTTCCTACAAATAATATTCAATTTTTATAGAATTTAAAAAATATGTTATTCTAAAAATAAGCTACTGCTTAGAATTTAACATATTAATTTGGTTAGGTACTGAGTTAGGTAGATTTTAGAGCTCAGATGAAGTGTTAAAAATATAATATATTATATTACTTATAATAAAAAAAAATATTTAGGTCTAATATATTTTATAAATACATATTTTTCTTTTTAGAGTTGCACGGTTTATTAGATCCAGATTTTGTAGTAGTATCTTTGGCTGATGAACAAACTGATACTGTATCTCGAAATATTACTAACTGGGCTAAATCAGTTAGATCACCATTAATGGCCATTGATCCTCCATCACAAGGTACACCTTCAGTAGTAGTGAAATATTCTCTAGTACCTGCTTTACCTTTATCTTACAGTGAATCAAATGGTAAAATTTATCTTTGTAATATGGGTATACCTACTCAAGTATTTCATTTAACTGGAATCCAGTATAAATCACCATTTGGTTCTAAATCTGTAATACCCTTACACAATAATGAGTGATTTATTACAATTTTAATAATTATTTGTTTTTGACGAATCCTAAAAGATGATTTTAATATAAGTACTTATATGTTTTGTGTCCAATTTTTTTTTTTTAATGGTCTTAAAATGTATTCAAATAATGTTCAATACAATTTGAATAATTTATAATTATATATTTTATTTTTTCATGGTTCGTTTGCATGTTATTGATATGTCAATAATTAGTTTACCTATCAATTTTTACTGATATTTTTTTACATTAAATCTATTTTGTGTATTATATTGTCCGTTAATATTTCCCCGAACTGATATTAAAACTTAAAAGTATATTTAAATGTTCTAATCATTCATGTATTGTGTATATTGAGTTGATTTATAAAACAAAAATATTTTAGTTATTATAATAATGGTAAATATATTTATAATGTATATTATTTTTTTATAAAAATTTTTATTTACGTAAATATTGCTGTCTAATTTTTATTTTTACTTTTAACTATTCAATTTTTAACATTTTATTAACATTTTGTAGATGTTATATTCATATTCACATAAATGATTATTATTATATTGTAATAAAAAACAACAAATAGCCCACCATCATAATCTACATAAATTAATTTAAAATCTAGTATAATTGGCAAATTGATGATGAAATATATTAGATTATTTTTAATAAAACAATAAAATTGTACTTGAGTATATGTATTATATTTTTTTTTAATTTCTAATTCGATAATGATTATTTATTGAGTTTAAAAACAAATTTGATGTGAGACGGGTAATATACAGTAAGACCTCTATCATCCAAACTAATTTGGACTGCACCTAGTTCGGATACAACAATTAATTGTTTTAATACTATATAGTATATACGATTGAAGGGGTGGACTGGGTTTTATGATTCCCAGGATACATGGTACAATTTTTTTTAGAGGGGTGGTAAGATACAATATGGGAAGCAATACCATAAAACAAAATTTAAAATATTTACAGTCACATAATAATAATTATATCTATTATATAGTGGGTAGGTTCTAAAATATATGTTATGCATCATGGTTTATACATTTTTGCTAAGCCACTACACTGATTATATATACAAGAGCTAAAAGCGTATTGATGCTTTTAAACGTAAATTGCAGTTCAGATAATCAAGGTTCTACTGTATAATTATCTTTAGCCTATAATATAAGTCAGCAATACAACTTAACTTGTTAGTAGATTTTGAAAATCAATGGGATCGAACAAGTAATAAATTCTATCTATTTATGTAATGTGTCCCGGGGGTAATTTAATGGACGGTGTCATCTGATAGTAGTTTTGAAAAAAAACTACTTTAAAGGAAGTACTTTTTTATTACTTTCAAAAATGAAAATGTTTGACAGTTTGTTTTTTCTTGATTATTGAATAAAAATAATTTATAAATTTTTGGTTTAGTTTTGGTATATAAACAAAATAAATACAATAAAAAACCTTGAACTATACAGTATATACAACTATACACATCTATATAGTTTTTTTTAAATTTACATAAAAATCATAAAATAAAATTTCAAATTTAATGATAATATTAATTTTTTTAATTTTTAATTTTTTATTTATTCTTCAAGAAGATAATGGGCCCCAATGAACATGTTTGTGTGGGGGGCCATGAGTTCACAATTTGAAATATAAATACATTAAATAGTTCTTATAAATTAAATATTTACAATTTGTAATATACATTTCTCACATACCTAAAGTTAATATTAATAATATAAGTAATATATATCTTCTTCTCTTTGTTTATATTATATGGTATTATGTAAATAAATGTGTAGTTAAATAATACAATATAATATGGTAATATAAAACTAAAATTAACAATAATTAGTAAAGTCGTACAACTAATATGATAAATAATGCAGTAATCCTATATGTCTGTTATGAGTCTGTCTAAATTTTGTTCTTGTAATAGCCAAAGTGTAATTTTTTTTTAAGAATCTTAAAAGAGTTGCTGTGTTTAATTTCTATTGGTAGTATATTGAAAATTTTTGGACCAATATATAGGTATGTGGATTGTGTTAAATTTGCTGTGAATAGTTGGTACTTTGATATTAGATATTTGCCTAGTATTGTGTCCGTGTTCAATTTTTAAAGTAAGTTTATTTTTAATTATGTAAAGTACCGACTCTTTATAAAATAATTTTTTTATTGGTAGTACATTCATATCATTATATAAATATTTTGTGTGGTATCTTGAGTCTTTTTTTAGGATAATTTTTAGTATTTTGTTTTGGATTTATTTTAATGGATCTATAGTTGTATCATACGTACCTCCCCATATAGAAATACCATAATTAATTATGGATTCTATTAATGCTTGATACACTACTCTAATTGTCTTAAGTTCTAGGATATCTGTTAAATTTTTAAGTTTTCTTAATTTCTTTGTTAAACATTTTATGTGGTCATTTCATTTAAGATTATGACACATTTCTATACCCAAGTATTGACAGTTTTTAACTATTTTTACAAAGGTTTGGCATGTACATATATTTTGATTTAAACAGTCATTCTCATGTATACATAGATTTGTTTTATTTGGTTGATTCTAATTAACTATAAAGTGTGGTAATATGAAGGTTTTTTCTAAATTAAGGAATAAATTATTTTCACATAGCCATTTTTATATTTTACTCATGTCGGATTGAACACTAGCAAATACTTCATCCCAGGATTGGCCTTCAATGAAAAGTACTGTATCATCTGTGTAGCAAACTAGTTTTCGGTGTGTATTCAAGTTATTAATTTGGTTTATATGTATATTGAACAGTGTAGACGATAGACTTGTCCCTTGAGGTACACCACATATTATTGACGTTTCTTCGCTCAATTCATTGTTTATTCCAACGTGTTGTTTTCTATTTTTGAAGTATGAACTTAATAAATTCTGAGCCGTTCCACTGATACCATGTGTGTTAACATTTTGTAGTAATATTTTATGATCTATAATATCTATATCAAATAATTTTACTAGATCCAAGTACACAGTTGTAAATTTTTTTTTATTTTCGAAAAAGTTATAAATATAGCTTGATACTGTTGAAATTGTTTGTTCGGTACTTTTACCAGGTCTAAAACCGAATTGGGTACATGATAGAAGATTATTACTTTCAAGGTAATGGACTAATTCTTTTTTAATAATTTTTTCAAAAGATTTGGCAATATTTGATAATTGTGAGATTGGGCGGTAATTTTCAATGTTAGATTTGTCACCTTTTTTGTGTATTGGTAGTATTACAGAAATTTTAAAGCATTAGATGTTGATCACAGTAGATGTTGTTATAGCTAAATTGAAAATGTGAAATATTGGTTTAATCAATGAATGTACCGTAAAAGGGGGTGAGTAGGGTCATGGAGGTGAATCGGGTCAGTGTTTTGTATTTTTCTTATTTAATGTGATAACAAATAAAATAATAATGATATCAATAATGTTAATGTGTCTTTGGAAACTAGAGACGCATTACAAAATTATAGATATGTCACAATCATATGATATGATTTTTTTCTATTATCAGTAGATAGTGCAATCTGAACCTTATCGTGTGTTGAATTTCCACAGCTCAACAAACTTTATGTGGAAATCGCAGATCAAAGTAAGTACAGTGCTTGAAATAAGTTTTTTAAGTTACTTAAACATATTTTGAACTCGAAAATATTTCTTTCGTTCAAATATTATAGATATTTATATTATTTTTAAAAATCTAAAAAAAAAAAACAAAAAAAAATTTGATTTTGGGGTGAATAGGGTCAGTGTGTATAATATATTAATTGGTACCTACCTATAGATTTCTTCCTACGTACGTAATATATTTTTGTTTTTGCTGGATTTTTTTTTGTTTGGATTCAAATGTGTAGGTTGTTATAGGTAGGACATAACAATATATGTGTTTAAACAATTATATAGTGTATATGTCTAAACAACAAGTTATTTTTGTTGTTTTTTGTTTTAGAAATGCCTCGCGAATATATACCTGACACAACTAAGAAACAAAGGAAGAAAAGATTAAAAGTTCAACCAGGAAAAAGCATAAAAGGCAATGATTTTAATATTTCTGAAAGTGAGGATGACCCAGGAGAAGAAAACTTTAATGAAGCTGATACACCAGTGGACATTGAAATTTGAAATGATAGTTAATGAGACCAAAGAAGATCAACAAAGCTCAAGCTCAAATTTAATTAATGTGGGCCAAATGTCTAATATTATTATAAAAAATAATATCAAAGAAGGCACATGGGTCGTGGTTAAGTATGGTGAAACTAAGAAATTATATTTTGTTAAAATCGTACAAATATTACAAAAAGGTGAACTTTATGAAAGGTCATTTACCAGATCCAGTAACTTCTCAAGTAGCTACAACGATGAAACCAAAGAACCTATATATATATTTCCAGATATCATTGACTTCTACATATTTAAGCTAGATGCTATTGTAATGATAGTTCCTCCACCAAAGAGTCTGCGCAGGGGTCGAATGCAATTTACTGTGAAACTAAGTGATATTTTAAATAGTATATAATACCTAGGTAGTAAAAAGTTACCTATGTAAAGTTTTATTGTTACCTATATGAATGTGCTTATTTAGTATTATTTAAAAGTGTCATTACCTATCTAAAGTGAATTTAAAGACTGGACTGTTATATTACATATCTACCTACTTATTAATTGTTTAAGAATTGTATTAATTTGTTAAGTTTGATTAAAAACGAAAGTATTATAATGTTAAGAAAAATTCTTATTTAAGTCAGTTTTATTTATTTTTATTGTTATATGAGGGTATTTATTTGGTATTGTTAAAAAATATCATAAGCAAATGTTGTTAATTCAAGGACTGAATAAATTGTTAAATTAGTATTATAAATAAAAGAAAATATTATTATGCGTAATAAATAAAGCATTTAAGAAAATTCTTTAAAAAGCCAGTGTTGTTTATTTTTATTTTTTATATGAAGGTGCTTATTTTCTATTGTTAAAAAAATATTATTACCTGCCTATTGCTTAAATATTGTATTATTAATTCAAAAATGAAAGAACTGTATTCATTAATTTAAACTTCAATTGTGTTTTTTTTCATTTTTACTACTTTAAACTATTTTTCACTGATCAATACATTTTATAGGTATAACTTAACATTTTTAAAAATTTATATTTCTGACCCTATTAACCTCTGGGACAGTGTGAATAGGTTTTTAGAGCAAAATAATCATGTGACCCTATTCACCCCATAGTGGGTATGAATAGGGTCACATTTTTAAAAAAATATATAAAAAAATTTGGTTATGCGAATGTATTTTTTTATAATAAATTATATTGGGTGACATCTTACCTTTCATTAAAAAAAAAAATAATGAACCTATGTTAAAAACTCTAAGAGATATTTTCAAAAAACCTTTAAAATTGACCCTATTCACCCCCTTTTACGGTATGTTTAATTTGAGCATTTTTACTGAAATTCCATCTAATTCTGGAGATAAATCATCTTTTAAAGCCTTTATTGCTTTTATAATTTCTTCATCATTAATTATGTAAAATGTATTAAATGACATATCTGTAGTATTTGAGATTAGTTGTTCAGTGTATGTACATTCTATGTTATGTCTATTTTGTCTTGTAAGTTTTATTTGGTTATACATGTTTTGTGCTGCATTTGTAAAGTACTCATTAATTCGATATTTCTTTTGATTTATCTGCAGGGTGCAGTTTTTCACCAAATTTGTTATGTATAATAGTTTGAATAAAAGAATTTGTTTTAGAACCGTTTGTCACATTTTTAATAACTTTCCAGTTTAGTTTCGAGTCATTTCCGTCTTTTTTTAATTCAGATTTATAAAATTTAGTTTTAGCTTCTTTTATCGTGTTAGTTAAAGTATTCCTATATTTTAAATAGTACTGTTTAAGTTTTTTGTTTAATAGATGCTTTTTTAAACTCAGATGTAATTTATCTCTACGACGAATTGATATAACAATTGCAGTTGTTGCCCAAGGTTTAATTTTTTTGGTTTTTAATTTTTTTTTATTTTTTGTAAAAATAATTCTTCATTTTTTAAAATTTCAATAAATTTATTCATCGAAAATATGATATAATATCATTGTACTTATAAGAAAACGATTCTGAGCGAAGATGGTTAGTCTGTAGTCAGCCTATGATATTACTAAGTATATTTAATGATATTATTGTGAATAAAGTAATTTATATATTATAATCTATTTACGTGGAACCTTGTTTTAAATTTTCAATTCTTCGATATAAAATTTTAAAATTTTATAAATTTTTAACTAAAAATTAATTTTAAATTTGATAAATGTTGTCAAAATTTGAACTTCAAACACTCATAAAAATTTAATTTGATTTGCTTGTAGACATTTTTTTTTGATAAAGGTAGACAAACTTATGAAGAATCTTGTATTACATTAATTTCAAATTTTAGATTTAAAAAGAAAAATTGTTATGAATTTCTAACTCAAAATAATTTGCACATTTTCGTGAATTTTACGTATTTTGTCAATATTAATTGAACTTTAAATGTTTCTAAAAAGTATAGTTTGATTGGTTTGGTTTTAATCACAATTTATTATTAAAGATAATATTATACTCTATTAAGCATATCCACAGATTAAATGAACATTTTCATAATTTCATTTAATCTGTGGAATATCTGTCAATAATTCAATACTTGAATACGCTGCTATTATTTGGTCATCCCATCAACAATTACATATTAATCAAATAAATAAAGTACAAAATAAATTTATAAAAATGAGCACATTTCGTTGCGGGATTAACCCGTATACTTTTAAATCTCTAACTGATAGACGTGTTGAATTTGATGTTACCTTTATTTACAAATTATTAAACAATGATATTGATGCTCCTGATTTACTTGCTAAATTATCTTTAGCCGTTCCTTCTTTTTATTCCAGAAATCCCCAAACTTTTAAAACAAATTTTCAGACCACTAACTATGGTTATGCAGCCCCTATTGATCGTGCTTGTCGATCTATTAATAATATATCAAATATTGATATTTTTAATGATTCTTTGCCATCATTAATTCTAAAACTCAAAAGTTGTACTTGTTAATATTTTCTTTAGCTTATTCTTTATTCATGTACTAATGTTCTTTTTTCTTATCTTGTAATATTATGTAATACAGTAGAACTTCCATATAACGGTCACCGAAGGGACTTTAAATAATGATCGCTATTTAGAGGTGTCCGTCCTACAGAGGTAGGATAACACTCGAAGGGACTAAAAAAATTGACCATTAATGGAAGTTTTACTGTATCTATTATTATAATCTGTACTATACTAATACCCCTGAGGAGTCGATATATAATAATAAATAAATAAATAAATAAATAAATAAATATGAGGAACTTTTTATTCAGTTTTAAAGTTTTTTGACCAAAAGTAAAAATTATTTATTGACAATAATTAAAAACAAATTTAAAAAAAATCAAAAATATATTATGCCTATAAATAACTTAGGTCTTAATATTTTGAAAATGTCATCATGGATGGAAGATGTACTGATAATAACCAGTTATAATAAAAAAATATGTGTTGTACATTGCGGAGACAGAGTGTGGACGTGCATGAGCCATTGCACCAGTTACGTGCAATGCGTATAGAGCATGCACGGCTAGCACTTAGCCCAACGCTCCACGACCCAGGTTTGAAATCACACCAGCCTGTGGGTGTAGAAGTACATACACTTTGAGTTTTTATTCTAAAGTAAGAATAAGACCATGGAATGTAGAAACATTAAAAAGTAAAAGGAGTTAGTCAGAGTTTTAAAGAGAAGAAAGGTGAATATTTATTGAGTGCAGGAAACTAAGTGGAAAGGCAAGGAAGCAAAGGAAATTGGGGAGGAGTGTACCCTATTGCCTGGGGAGGCGAATTTATATTTTCATATTATTATTGTATATTAATTGTATAAAAAATAAATTAACTTATGTTATATATTTAATTTTTATTATAACCTTCTGTTAAAAGCAAATATTACAGCTAAAAAATGTATATAGTTTTCATCAATTAGTCGGAAAATAATATTAATAATTACAAACAATATTTAAGGTTAACTATAAACTAAGAAAGGTGTTTTGAGTTGGCATTATTGATAATTGAATCAGAAATAACAAGTAAGTAAAGCAGATTTTGAAGAAATTTTCACTTTATTTTCAAATATTCAATCTAGGAGAAAGTTATAAATAAATATACCTATCTAGTTTATAATTATTAATAATATTCACAGAAAAATAGAAATTAAAATAAATTATAAATTTGTGGAATGGAGTAGGCATGAAAATAAATGAGGGGATGGAACTGTGAAATGAAGAGTAGTAGAGGTTGAAGAAAGGAAGATACAATATTACTTTGAATAATTAACAATATGTAAAAAACATGTAGAAATATACATTAAAAGGTAACTGTTTTAAATTGTAATTATTAATTGTATACAACTTAAAAATATATGTGTACTCATTTACAAAATGTAATATTAAAATCAACTAAAATCCTTGTATTTCAAAAAGTAGTTGATTTTATTTCATAATACTGACATGTTCAATAAATATAATATAATAATATTATAGTTAACTTTTACAATATTTTTTTTTTGAATTCTTGTTATATTAAAGTAAATAATTTGAATAATTTAAGTTAAGTAAAGATTATCAAATAATATTAATAATATAGGTACCTATACTTTATTTGTGTTATTTTCAATGACAATATGCAGTTTATGTATAAAATATTTTATATCATGGTATAGAAACATGACAATCATAATAACAATAATTAAGTAAATAGCTTTTGTTATTAAAATGTAAATTTTAAACAAATATTTTGTCAATAATATGATTTTAAAAAAAAATTATATAAATTAAAAAATTATGATTAATAAAAATGTACAAATTAATTATAAAAAAAGTAGTACATATTTGTAAGATAGAAACCAAAACATAAAATTACACAAAATAAATCACAGACAACTGTTATAAAAAATATTACTTGTAGGAATTCTTTTCAAAAATTTGTTACTGAATGGACTCTGGAATGAAACATAATATAAAAAGTAAGTTGAATACAGCATAATTAATTTAGAATTAAAAATTACCCTAGAATATACACTCTGTCAAGCAAGAGAACACGCCAATTTCTGACAGACCGCGGTGTGTTCGCTCCCTGAACAGAATATAGATTATTTGCTATGCCATTCATGAACATAGGTCATAGTTCATAATTAATAACATCGATTACCTATATGAATATACACTAAATGGTAATAAGTACCAAAATTATTTATATAACTATAATCACTGAAATAAAAAAAACATTTGACTAAAATATTAACTATAAATCCATTTTAAAATTTTGAATGACAAAGTTTGGAAAAATGTGATATCATACATTGAACCTAAGAACCCTGATTTTGAATAAGTTATTTACAGGATTAGATAAGACTTATGTGGCGGGGCATGCCTGGCGTAAGCAAGGACCTCTAATTAGGCAGATAATAGAGGAAGACCCTATAGGCAAAAGACCTTAGGGAGACCCAGGTTGAGGTGGGAAGGATATAAAAAAAAAAACAATAGGACCAGGAATCAGATGGAGAGAAGCGGCAGAGGACAAGAACAGATGGCAAGATTTGTATTTAGCGACATGGTCTTAATGGCCGAAACCAAGAAGAAGAATCACTGGATTACACGGCTCAAAAGATTTTTGAGGCTTGGGGCAGAATATTATTAAGAAGCCCTTTAACCCCAACCTAACATTATAAACACACATTTATTCAATTTTAATTTAGATTTGAATCAAATAGAATTTTAAACTTAATTTAAAACGAGCAACATTTCTTACCTGTTTTTTTTTTTTAAATCCGATAGGTATTTCATTATCTTTACACAATTCGAGAAATGCTTTTAGACCTCAATAATTCAACTGTAATACTCATTTCTATACTTTACCTCTGTAAGATTTTATTGACTATCAAACTTTTCCAAATTCGGAAATAAACTGTAAAACCAATAGTGACCAATAATCATCATCGACCACTAATGATTAATAAAGCTTGAGTTTTGTAGCAAATGCTTTTTGGACAGAAAATGTGATGAAAAGATAGTTCTCAAATAAAAATTAATTTTGTTTAATCCTAATTAAAATGAAGTAAATATGTTGTACAACTTAGTAGTTATTTTCAAATAGTTTATTATAAATAATAGCTTATGTTATAAACTTATAACTTAAAGGCTTAAATATCACACAATATTTATGTCAGCTGGACATTAACAATTTTAATTTTAATAAAATTACAAGTAATTTACAATATATTTATATATTAATTGTTTATATATTTATATTATAATACATATTAATTATATTTGAAAGTATTGAAATGTTTTTTACAAAATAAACCAGTATATTGGTTTTATAAATAATCATAGATATTTTTAATTTAAAAATAAAAAGCTTTTATAAAATTAAAATTAGAGCAAATTTTATTCGTTATTTGTTATAATCAGTTGTTTACCTCAAGATTCAAATAATTTTTTATTATTGCTCATTGTAAAGACAAAATAAACTAATTGTTTAAAAGAAAGAACACTGGATCACTTAAGACAATATAATAGTTAATACTTTAAACTTTCAAAGCAGTGCATACTTATAATTAATTTATAAATAGTTTATAACTTACTCTTGGTTATTAAAATGAATTCCAGATTGATCATACATTTTTTTTATTATGATGAAAGAAAATAGAAATATTAAAATTCCAAGTACAAATATTATAATTTGTAGTTTAAACGATTGTCTAAGAAACATACGAATATGCACTTCATGCCATACAGATTCAGTCCATGTTGAATATTTTGGAGATGATAAATTATACTCTGAAAATAATTTATATAATATAATATATTATAGGAACAGTAAATTATAGTTTATATGTATAAAAAAGGAAAATAAAAACATACCAGGTATAATAAAAGCTGGGCTAACTGCATCAGTAACATTAGATGTTGTTGAATAACACGCGTTATAATTTCCTCTTAACCATATAGGCATAAAACCCTTTAAAACACATTTAAAATAAAATCATTGTATAAATCAAATATGTTCATAAAAATTCAAAAGTATTTTAGTACATTTGTTTATTATTAGGTAGTTATTATGTGAAAAGAGTTAATGTACCATTTGCTGTTCATAAATGTTCTACTATAATCAACAAGAATTTGCACAGCAATTGTCAAGCAAGTGCATTTTATTATTATGTGAGTATTACTATTATATATTAAACTGCTGACTTTCTAAAAATAGGTATTTATTGGCATATTTATAAAACACAATATATTTATATATTTAACTTGATACAGGATTGTTGCATTATCTGAAAAAATTATGATAAGTCTACTCCAAACTTTGGGACTGGGTCGATACCAACAATCGATATTAATATTATCCAAGCTTGGTATTATCGGTATATCAGGCATAGATTTATTAATTTTTTTTTTGAACCTATAGTAAAACCGATATAATGTAAGTAGTAGATCGCAATATTAATTTGTATGAAGGTTATAGCAATAATGCTATTTTTAAAAGTATTATAATATTCATTATAATTAATTAATTAACAACTAAATCCTTGCAGAAATTGAAGTTATTATGATGTGTTACATTATTTATATAAATTATCATATTAAAAAATATATCAGTTTATGGATCCAAAATGGATTTTACATAGACAATAATATATAATATATCAGGATATAGAACATCAAAAAAAAGTTTTATTGGTAAACCTCTACTTTTTATATATTAAGTTGATGTATATTGTATATAATAAAGTTACAGACCTGTTTTGTTCTATAGTTTAGACAATTTTCTTCATTTTGAACTTCATTAATTATTTTACTTCCAAAAGAAGCAAATAATAGGCGTGAAAGACTGGTGATGGTATTTGTGATCAAATCTATACTGATATAATAATTAGGGGGATTGTCAGGTAAATGCAGTGGTGAAGTCAATGATTGAAATACTTCACAATTCATAGACTTAACATAACAATCTAATAATTTGGTAACCTAAAATAAAAATGTTTGTTTATTATTTGCTTACACTAAAATAATAAATAGTTTATTACTTACATAGCTAGAATTTGCTTGTTTCAAACCAGTGTAGGTGGAGTTAGTAATAAATGTATAAAGGGAGTTACTAAGAGAAGTTGATATATGAGCTATGGTTTGTGGAATTGTAGAATTATTACCATATTGTATATTCTCAGCATCATCCAAAATGCTATGATAAAACCTTTATGAAATAAACAAACGAAAAATGTCTTTTATTTTTTTATAAATAATAATTAATAACATAATTACCAAAATACTACATGTTGTTAACTTATAACATAAAAGTATACTTAGATCAATATAGTTTTAAGTGATAAGTTAATTGTATTTTTAAAGTTTTAGATTTTGAGCATCATAATGAATGTATGGAGTCTAAGACGGTTAGGTTAGGTTAGGTTATCAAGTATAGTTTTATTAGTATATGGCTGTTTCTTCTTGTGTCACATTTACCAACAATTATCATTAAAAACATTATTTGTGGGAACTTAAAACTTTTTTTAAATATAGAAAGTCTCCACAACAAAAAAAAATACTAAATAAGTTTCAATTTACTAGTAAATTTATATTAAAATACTAATTTTTATCAAACTCTGCAATAATCAATATATTTAACTCGATTAATATCAAATGGAGATTCGTTCGAAGGTTCTTACCGTTACTGTCATCCATGATTCAAGCATTCTCAACGGTTTTTCCCCATGTTTACAAAGTCCACAAACAACCTCTATTTGACATAAACTTTGATGTACTAACCTTCACCCCAGACGTGATGGTGTCACCCAACTTCCTGGGCCACACCCCTAATGATTTATGCCTTATGCCTCCATGCATAATTAACAACTTATTCAGAAAATGTATTGCCGCCAATTTTAATTTGTGTACCTTGGTATTCACTGATGGGTCAGTAACACAATCAGGAGAGGCTTTTGCTTACTTTTCCCAGAATTACATATAGTCATCCTCCAACTTGTCTGCTTTCGTCCCTACGTTCACGGCTGAATGCTGGACTATCCTAGAAGCTCTCACATGCATAAGTTTTCTCCCCTGCGGAGATTTCCTTATTGTCTTTGATTCTCGAGTTAGTATTTTAGCAATCGTCAGTAACCCCTTAATTTCTAAGTGCTCCCCCATAATTCTAAAAATCCGTGCATTACTACTAACCCTCAAAATCAGATCATTCTCCATATCCTTCCTATGGGCTCAAGGGCATATAGCAGTGGCGTCATTTCAGTTTTCAATAGAGGGGGGCAAATGTTTTAACCGGCCCGAATGGGGAAAAAAAAAACCGCTCGCAACCACATATTATCTATAAGGTAGCAAATATTTTAGAAAAATAATTGTATACCTTTGTCAGTTATAAGTCTATAAACTATTATATGACAATAGCCAATAATATTATAAACAATAATATTAGTAATTTATTAGGATATCTTCTTTTTTTTATTTTTGAAAACTACATTATCTATAAATCAATTTTACCTGATTCATCACTTATAGCCCATACTCTATTACTCTTATATAGGTATACGGTATATTTACAAATTAATATTATCTTAAATTATAATATATTTTTTTTTTATTGCTTGCTTATTGGCTCAAGTTTTGTCTGTTTATTAAACATATCAAAAATTATTTTCAATTCTTGAGTAGTTTTCTGTAATTTTATATTTTTAGCCGCACCACCCATTAATTTTTTTTTAAGTCATATTTTGCTCTAATTGAAAGGCTAATGTAAACACGTGCACGAAAAAAATTAAATTTGAATTCAGGTAGAATAAGGCACTCAACTAAAATATTAACACAATACGCAGAAAAGTTGAATCATCCACGACTGTCGCAAGTTAACTGAAGTCCGTGATCAATGATAATTAATAAGAGTGCCAATCGGTAGTTGTTTTTAGAATTTGTATTAATTTTAGATTTTAGAAATTAAACTATACAAGATTATGATACTAATTATTATTATTGTTGTGCTTACAACAATATTAATATGTCATTTTCTCACACAAAACACACTCACACAAACAAACATACATAAATACATATCCATACATAGAATGTGTACATGTGTACGTCCCCGCATACGTCTAAATATAAATATATTCCAACTATCAATTAGAAAAAATGTATCATTGTGACAATAATTTCTTAGTACAAGGTATAATATTTTCTGAAAATATTATAAAATAGTTATGTTTTTGCGCTAATAAAATATAATAATGGTAAAACGGCAACAATTGGGAACCGGCCCATCGGGCCTCTTTTAAAATCAGACAGGGGCAAATGCACACCTTGCCCCCTTCAAATGACGTCACTGGCATATAGGCATAAATGGTAATGAGCACGCTGATTCGTTAGCTGGCTCCACTGCCAACCAATCTTACTCGGCCATCTGTGGTGTCCCTATACTGATTTAGTCACTATACATTGCATATCCATACAGGAGCTATGGAAGTTGGAATGGGATTCCCTACCAGAGTCTAATGCTTTTGGTTATAGGTAATTATTTAAAAGCATCCCTTTTCAACCATCGTTTCAATACCTAATGATGAACCGCGCTGCCATAACTAAGTTCACCAGATTACGCATGGGTCACAGCCTACTACCACAATACTCGTTTAAATTGGGACTCAATAGTAGTATGTATTGTCCACTACCCAACTGTGGTGGAGAATACTGTGCCTTCCAACACCTACTCATAAATTGTCCATCTCTTTCTATCCAAAGATCTCAGCTAAAGAATCTCTTTTCCACCTCTGGAATTTTTTCCCTTATTGACGCTCTATCAACCAAAAATGTTAATATAATCAAACATATTCTAAATTTTATCCTGCAACCAGGCTTTTGAATTTAACAGTATGAGCTTTACCAACTTATATTTATTTCAGATTAATGTACATAATTGCCGAGATATTATAATTTAATGTTAAAATCTCATTAATAATAATAAAAAAAAAAAGTTTCAATCCATTTTTTAGCCATTTTAAATGTTAAGATGTAACACAAAATGTACACATCACAATAAAAAAGAATAAATTAAAAATAATACATACTTATTTTTAAATTGGTCTCTAAATCCTGTTAATATTATACCCGGAAATTTGGGATCAATTTTCAAAAAAGAATGTAGTGATGATGGTGGTAAAGATGTGCTTTTTGATTCAGTAACAGAAAAACCATCATCAGAAAGACTCTTATTAAATATATTCATGAAATTTATAACATTTTCACTAGCCTGAAATATAACAATAACAAATTAAAAATAATTTTTTAATTTTGATTTATAATAAATATTTAATACATACATTATTTTTGATTGGACGATAAAAAACCACTTCTTTATCATAATGTATTTGTGATAATTCTACAAACAAGCCAATATGACTCTGATTGAGTTTAATTAAATCATTTGGGAAATTTCCATTTAACATATCATAGACCACTCGACTTGATCCAATATAATCATAAGCTTCTCCATTAAATAAAATAAACATAATATTCCGAGCTGAAAATTTCAATATTTTTTGTTCATAACACAGCGTAATTACTCTAAGGTTTAAAATCATTTTTGGTTAAATTATAAGAATTAGGCAATAAGAAAAAATATGGTCCATATTTCCATTATATTTGGTTTAAGACGGATAACATAGTAAATTTATGTTTAACAGTTGATGCATAACTAACTTCAACTGCTCAACATAAATTTGCTGTTTTGCGCTTGTAATACATAAACAACAAATCTTGGTGTGGCATCCCCTTTATATAAAAAAAATAAATAGTTTATCATTACACATCCAATTTAAAATTAACACATCATATGAAAATTAATATTTTGTACCTATACATTATTTATTTTGTCCTTCTTTTTTTATCATTCCAAAATTGGGTAGCACTGAATTAGGACATAAATGCTACTATGAGAGAAATACACTAATATTATTTTTTATATATTCTTCATTGGAGATATCGAAGTAATAAATGTCAATGTAGTGTTCCTTAAAATATATATGTTTGTTATCAATTTGCTACTAAGTAACTTTCTCCATACTCACATTTATAATTAACCATACCAAAACTTTTAATTACAACTATAAAAGTATATAATGATAATATATTTACTATAAACATAGATAATAATTAATATTTCATAATTACACATAAATAAACAAGATCCTTTAGGTCTTAATTGTCATTTCTGAATAATTTTTATGAATTTAAATTGTTGTATCATTATGTTTTTGTTGTAAAAATTGAATGCTAGTATTTAATACTTATGTCAAATAACTCATTGGTATAGATTATTTATTTTTATCAATATTTTTAGTAACATTTATAAGATAGGAACACACTTGAGTACTTCTAAGTGTAGTGATAATTAACAAGTTTACTAGGTTTCCATCGAGGTAATTTTTAATATTCCAATTATTGTTCATATAAATACAAAAATATCATATTTTTAATCATGGATCACAGCTGAAAAAATAGATATTCAAAATTGTCTCGATAGAAACCTAATAAACTTGGTAATTAAATCAATGAAAATCAGTTTTAAAAACAGAAATCCGTTAAACCAAATTCCTTCAGTTTTATCTGGCTTTTTGGTCAATAAACCACCATTTTTTTCATTGACTGCAGCCACTTGAGATATATTTTATGATACAAAATTTAAATATATTTAATAATATTTTAATAAACAAAATGTATGTTTAAAATGGTCAAATAGGAGCCTTATTAATACAGTTTGATAAACAATTAAATTAAACAACTTACAGAAGTTGTTGGCATCATTGTAAGATAGCATTTCTGAAATTAAATTAGCAGTAGTCATTAACGTCACAATTGATGTAGCTGTTGACATAGCACCAGGAGCTAAGTCTTGAAACATAGATGTAGCATCCAACCGTGCAGCAACAATAGCAACAGATTGATCTGGTGTATTTGGATGTAGTTCTTTTAGAGACCAATACACATTCTTATCACCCAGCGGATCACAAAATTTAACTAAACAAATTAACAACATTAATAAAGTATTATAATACATCAATATATTAAACCCGTCATAGGTTTTCCTCTCTCTGGGCAAGGGGACTCAGCCAGAGAAAAGTATCACTATCGCGTTAGTTATGACAGAAATTACATTATATAGTGCCTCTAGAAATAGTACTCCCAAAGTACCAAGTACAACTAGGTACAATAAGGCTACTCCAGTTCAACAGAGCCACACAAAAATAAATAATAAATTTGATAACTATTTACTTGGTCTTATATTTTGGTATGACATCATTGTTCGCCTCAAACACGTTTTGGAATCTACAGCAGCATACATATGAGATTTCAATTCAAGAGCACATAAAGATTGATCATTTTGATTATTTAAAGGTAAATTATGATTTTTGAAGCACTGTAAAAATAATATATGTTATTTACTTATCATTAACATTATAACTAAAATGTATTTTAAGAATAAATAACCTTAATACACAAAATAGGGACTCCATACTACAATAATACTAAATTTTGTCCCCTAAATAATAAAATATTTACTATACACCAAAAATAAGGTCAAGGAGGTATTTCTCCCCCAAAGATATTTTTAATCAATACTCTTTTTTGACTTATAATCAAAATAAAAAAAATAGTGTTCAATAAATAAAAAATAACCTACAGTCTGTTTCACAAGATAACATGCCGCAGCCCGACCAAAATAGGGGTTTCTGTGCATCTCCACGCAACACCCTGCCTTAGGGTAACCGGTTTCAATAGAAGGGTGACGTGTGGGGATGTGCAAAACCAACATGTTCTCTCTTGGAACCAGAGTATAATATCCCAGATTTTTATTTATTCATTAACTAAGCTTTAATAAATTGTATGAGTCCCTACAAAATGAAAATTCAGTTTTTATAATTTTTTAAGTAACAAATTGATTATTCTTACATCTATAATATCTTTGATAGTGTTTTGATCGTTAACAACAAATATTGGGAAACTCCAACTTTTTAAAAGAATATCAGTACCATAAGGATTCCATGGTTTCATTGGACAACTACTAACATCTGAATAACGGTTAGGACATGTATCTTCTGGGCTAAATCCAGTATATTGTAAATTATCATTATTTATTACTTCTTGTTCAGTACCATTCATTAGTAACATTATACCATTTACTTTAGCACTCAATTCAATGCTTTGTAAAACCTCTCTGCAAATGAACAAAATATATTTTAATTTTAAATTATTTAGAACACGAATAATATGTATTTAATCTTAAGACACTCATTAAAGTTTTTATATGAAATTAATAATTAGAAGTAACCCGTATGGCACCCGCATGTGTTGTCTCAGTCTTACAAGTGAGTTATTTAGCAAATTGTAAGTTCTGCAGATCATGTTTAGCTCTATTAGTTTAAAAATAAGAGTAAATTGACCTCTTATAAAATTTAAATGTAGGATCTACAGGCCATCTATAGGCCATCAAGAAGGCTTTTTATTATACTTTAATTTTAAAGCGAGTTATAAATATTTTAAAATTGTAAATTGTAAATACTCATAACTGGCTTTAAAATTAAAATATAATAAAAATCCTAAATGATTGTCAAGATAATAATTTTACTTTTAATTTTTATAAGAGGTCAATTCAAACTAATTTTTAAACCAACGGAGTTAATTGTGATCTTTTGAGCGTAAAATTTGCTATGTTACGCACTTGTAAGACAGAGACAACACATCCAAGTGTCACATCCACTTAATGTCTGTACATGCAGTTTGAAATCACAAACTTTAAAAGCGTAAATAATTACAATAAAAAAGTAAATAAATATCACCTATTAAACATTTTTGGCGTTATTGCTACAGTGTAAGGATCAGCCTTTCCTTCATTAAATAACCAATTTAAATCAGTTGAATTTGTCACCAAATGTAAAGTTCCAACATTTCCAAATCTTGAAGCTATAAAATTAAAAAATAAATAACGAAACATTATTACTTATATCAATAATATAACTCACAAGTACACCCAAATTGGTTTGTTCCATTTAGTCTAAGAAAACATGGGTTATCCGCTATGATGTTAGCATACATTTGATCTTTGACCGAAAGACAATTTAATAGAGCTAAAAAGAATTAGTTATCATATAATACAGTATATTAAGTTAATAATTATGTTGAATATACTTACTAAAAGTCGCAAAATGCAAACATACAAATGAAACGAGACGTACACTAATCATTTTGTTTATTTTAGAATAACAGAATACAATGAAAATAGTTCCAAGAGGGAAAAATTTAAGCTACATTTCTATTTTTTGAAATATTTTCATCAATTTGACATTTCAATTTTTATTTCACTTAAATAAAATACCATGATCGTTAATCACAATAATTTCTGAATTCACAATTTTTCACCACTAATGATAGTAATTCTGTGGTATGCTATGGTAGTATGGTAACAGAATTATTCTGTGCCATGGTAGGCGATAGTGATATGAAAAGTGGTACACTTATAATGGATTTATAAATCCACCCTGGGTTTGGGTACACTCACAGATATAAATAGTATTTTATATCTGTGGGTACACTATAATTATTAACGACAGAATAGTGTATTAACAACTATCACTAAAATAGATTTTTCTGTGATAAAACAAACGCGTCACGAAAACAAGCGAATGATTTTAGCGTCTCCAGTAGGGCTATCCATAGACATATATAAACATAGACATATATATATGTCTATGGGGCTATCTCAATTCAGAATAGCCGCCATCTAAGCAGCTGAACGCATTCCAAGGTTTATAGATAATTATTATCGATATAATTATAATTATTATAGATTATTATTATCTATAAACCTTGAACCCATTTCACATATTCTATCATAATAATATCATATTTTTTTTAAACTTATTATTTTGAATTTTCGTTATTCAGTTTCGGTAATGCCAATAGATAAACAAAGAAGTACTGTAGTTTTTTATGCCTTATCAGTAATCAGGCAGATATTCTGTGGTATTGTCCACGATTTAAGATTTAAGGTATACTTAAATCGTGGTATTGTCGTTTGCCTATCAGAGTCTGATAAATGATAATCATGCATTCACTTTAGAGTTTTAGACTATCTGTTGCTAGCGGAGAGCGGAACGTGCACCATGAAGTATTAATTGTGAAACTATGAAATATACCTAATATTTTAACTGTTTTTTATTTTAAATAGCCAACTATCGGAAAGCCAACAGGTTAGATTACAAAAATTTACAGCATTTATTACCATTTACCAATATTATAATTTTTAATTTTAGTATTTAGATAATAATTTATATACTTTGTTTATTCGGTGTACAATACACAAAGGCAAGATAGCACTTTGTATGTACATTAAGGGCCGTTCTTACGACGTCCGGTTAAAGTTAACCGACACTTAACCGGAAGAATTCTGCCGGTAATAAAATCTGTTATCAGTCGGTTAGCGTTAACCGACACTTTACCGGACATTGTAAGAACGGCCCTAAACCTTATATTAATTCATAATTGATAGAAACTGAGGAGGTGATCATTAGTCATGTACTCATGTACAATACCCATTGCTTTAGTAATTTTTAAGATAGGTGATTTTACTCCGATTAATCGGAGAACATGAGAATTTATTTTGTGTGCATGTGTTTTAAATGTTTTGAGAGAAAAACAAATAGTACAGTGTGTTTCCTTTTAAAGGTAACACTAAATAATTCTGTCCAGTGACATCGGATTAATATGCGGTTTTCAGGAGGGGTTAGGGAATACATAAATATACATTTCTTAATGATTTTTACATTTTTAGATCTTTCCGTGTGCGCATGCGCAATACAACTTGCATTTTTTTAAATGGCAACAGGTGTTTTGAATGCCAAATTCGGATAGAACAAATTTTTTTAAGTCGATTTGGTCCTTTTTACTATAGCTCTATAATCAAAATTGACTAAATGGCAACCAGTCAAAGATTCGATTAAAATTATTGAATTTTTCACCAATCATACTAGAATTTTATGAATTATTATGAAATTTTATTTATTATTTTTGTATCCGTAGGTTTGCAGATATTATTAAATCATTTAAATTTAATTTTGAGGAATTAATTAACCTCACAACGTAAATCTATCCAAATAAATAATAGAAATGATTGAAATTGTAAAAAAAATTGTGTTAATTAGTTTAATCTTTTCTTATTTAGTAATTGAACTAACATTTACGTCTAATTGAGGTTAATTAATTCCTCAAAATTAAATTTAAATGATTTAATAATATCTGCAAACCTACGGATACAAAAATAATAAATAAAATTTCATAAAATTCTAGTATGATTGGTGAAAAATTCAATAATTTTAATCGAATCTTTGACTGGTTGCCATTTAGTCAATTTTGATTTTAGAGCTATAGTAAAAAGGACCAAATCAACTTAAAAAAATTTGTTCTATCCGAATTTGGCATTCAAAACACCTGTTGCCATTTAAAAAAATGCAAGTTGTATTGCGTATGCGCACACGGAAAGATCTAAAAATGTAAAAATCATTAAGAAATGTATATTTATGTATTCCCTATAACCTCCTGAAAACCGCATATTAATCGATGTCACTGGACAGAATTATTTAGTGTTACCTTTAAAAGGAAACACACTGTATACTAGATTGTCTAATAATTTATTTAGTCATGTTTCCCAAATATTTTAATGCTACTAATATATACAGTTTTTGTTTATTAGTATATGGTTTATAGATTTTACATATCTCATTAAATATGAAGGTTTTATTGGTAACATAGTAAATAACAAGTAATTTTAATATGATAATAGGACAAACATTTTTTAGCAAAACATATTCTTTTGAATTTCATATTTTATGTATTATTTATTTAAAAATAAATATGTGGTTTTCTACCAAATAAGATTAGAGTGAGAAACATTAGTAACAATTGTGAAAAAACTTTTATTTGATAATATAATAGTATTAAAGGAATTTCAATTTAGTTAGATATCAATGTTAGACATGATAAAAATGTACTGAATATTTTATAATACAGTATAAATAAGCTTAAAATGATTTTAAATATGATTGCACATTATAAAATATATAAGTGCAAAAAATATTATAAATTACAACAAAATAACAAACCAAGGGCCGTTCTTACAGTGTCCGGTAAAGTGTCGGTTAACGCTAACCATCTGATCGCAGATTTTATTACTGGCAGAATTCGACCGGTTAAGTGTCGGTTAACTTTAACCAGACATTGTAAGAACGGCCCTAAGGATTTTATGTAACCCTTTCACTGCTACACTATTTAAGCACTGCAACCTGTGTGTGCTATGTAAAATTAAATATTTATTATTTATTTTCAATTTTTAAAATTTTAATTTTGAGTACATTCTAATTTTTGAAGTTAAAAACAATACGATCTAGGGTTTCCTAAACTTGTAACTTGTAAGGTTACCAGCAAATAATCATACTATAAAATCCAGGAACGTAATTGTACTTATAGAGCATTGAATGGTTTAATAGTTTGGACGTAATAATGAAAGCAGTGAAATCGTTAACAATTTTCGTCTGAATTTTATCTTGATGTCTATAATAAAAGAAATTGCGTTTCTTTTTTTTAGATTTTTTGTTTCAGTATGCACTACTTTGGGTAACTAACCTTGTATTACATTTTCAAGCTTTAGATATAAAAGTTGAACATTTTATAAATTATTAATGAAATAATTATCAATATATTTGGGTGATTTTATCTAAATTTTTCTTAATTCTAACTTTTAATACTTAAATATTATGGGCTATCTCCCAATATGTGGTCTACCTTCGTTTTGTGTACTTCGTAACTACGAGTATAGTATACGGTCTACCAATGTTATGTGTTCTACCTATAGCTGGAAATCCCTCATAATTTTTATTTATTATCTACTAATTTATATGTTTTATCTTAATTTTTCATAACGATATATATTTTATCATGTAACAATGGTAATCGGTCAAAAAGTCCTGATTAATTTTTGAATGCCGGACAAAAAGTCCGAGTGCATTTTTACTGTCGGACAAAAAGTCCGAAAATACAAAATTGTCTATTAAATTCATAATGTGATTATAGTGACTTAATTGCACGATCACGGACTAAGGGCCGTTCTTACGACGTCCGGTTAAAGTTAACCGACACTTAACCGGAAGAATTCTGCCGGTAATAAAATCTGTTATCAGTCGGTTAGCGTTAACCGACACTTTACCGGACATTGTAAGAACGGCCCTAAGATATATATATATCTTAGTCCGTGAGCACGATTATAGTATATCTTTAATCGTGCTTAATAGAGATAGTGTGGCCATACTGATAGCCGCCATTACTTGCCTAAATTTCTTAGCGGGCCATAAGATACACATTAAACTATTTAAACTCATTAAAGGAGTAGACTACAGTAGTCAGTAACTATACATTTGAATAAAAGTTTTCTAAATACTGATTTTAGATTCTGAGCGGAGCGATGAATGTATTGGTTTTACAATGATGTATGTTTTTATATTTTTAGATTCTGAGTGAAACGATGAATGTATTGATTTTACAATGATGTGTGTTTTTTTATTTTTTTTTTTATTTTTTTTTTATTTTTTTATTTTTGTGTCTGTCATCACGTTTTAGGACAGTAAAAGTGCTTGGATTTTCTTCATCAGTAGCTTTTCTGATAGGAAAGTGAATCTAGTTGGTACTTTGGGGGGTCAAAAGTATAAATTTCCCAGTAGTTTTCACAAGCGCCGGGAAAAACAACATAAAAATTAAGGAAAAACGGGAATTTTTACGCAAAATTGGTTTTCCAAAAAATCGATTTTGGTTATTGGTGTAACTCTAAAACAAATGAACGTATATACATGAAATTTTCACTGGTTGTTTATATTTGCATTTTCTATACACGATAACATTTTCAAAATATTTTGATTTATTTTGAACTGTTTAGGGACATTTTCATTTTCCATTTTTTTTTAGTTTTTTTTCTAAAAATATCAATAAAATTTTATTTATTGGTTGCGAAAGCTTGAAAATTTAATAGAAGGCTCCTATTATGTTGTTTCAAAGGCAGATGAAAAATATTAAAAATCCTTAGTCACAATTTTTTTTTATAAGCATTTAAAGTTCAAAAATTGACAAAATATGGAAAAATCACGAAAATTAGCAAATTATTTTGAGTTAAGAATTCGTAAAAATTTTTCTTTTTAAATCT